AAGAAGCGGACACTCAGTAGTAAATAAGCCTGCCGATTGCGCTTATTTTGTTAAGTCAGACAGGGAATGAATAAGCTGCGTTGTTTTGTCTGAGTTGCAGATTTTTGGAGCAAAAATTAAGCATGGCTACATCTTCTCTTAGTCGACATTGTTAAAACAATCCAAATGTATTTTGCTATATATATTTGCGGAGAATATACATGCAGTTCAACAGGAAAGGGATCAGTAAATTTGTGTAGTGTGCTTATCTTGCTTACTTCAAAGTAATTCTGTGTGATCAAGATAAGGTATGGGCGCCCCATATTGTAGGTAAGCAATTTGTTGAACATCCTCGACAGTGGACAAAAAAGGATAGAAAGTCACTCCGCTTTGGTATTTCAAATGGTCTGTAATTTTATGAATCCAAGAGAATTGAGTGCTTCGATGGCGTTTGCAAATGTAGTAAAATTCTTTTTGGGAAAAACAAAGGCGCCCAACTACAAAGAGCTTGTTGAAACACTACTTAGAAGTCTCCGTCAACTGGGTGCAAATATGAGCATCAAGTTTTTGCACAGTCATCTTGCCCGTTTTCCAGAAAATCTAGGTGATGTGAGCGATGAGCAAGGGGAGCGCTTCCATCAAGATATCAGCGACATGGAAGTTCGCTATCAAGGTCGTTGGGATTCCACCATGCTTGCAGACTACTACGTTGGTCTATCAAGCGCGATGATGCCGGGGCCTTCTATTCTAGAAAATCAGTAAAACGTCAATTTATAGCTGATGACATCTATTAGTTAGCGTTTATTACAACTTCCAGCTTTAATTGTGAATATTTCGGTGAGATTCCATGAATAGGTTCAATAAAATTACAGAAAAATGTTGTTTCTTCAATTTGCCTATCTTTATTGTAGCTATCGGCATACTGCAGATATAAGAGAGGGATATACCATAAAAGAAAAACTAGACCTGATAGAGAAAAAGTAACCGCATTTCTGGAATCAGCGTCCTCAAATTTGCTAAAAAAACGTTCAAAACATCTTAGGCACCATGGAAAAAAATTTGTCGGCGAGTGTAATCAACGAATATATTTTCATCGTCGTGTTTTTATTTTCATGTTTGTTTACTGTGTCTAATTTGGCTCCCCCTATAATTCTGCCTCCATTTTTGACCTTTTCACCTGGTCGCATACCAAGGTAACCGTGCTACTATCTTCACAGTGGTGAACAATAGGTACCGTAGTAACGGCGGGCCTAGGGATGCGACAAGATTCGGATTCGTGGCCGAATCTCTCTTAATTTGATACTCGGATTCGGCCCGAGTCTTTGATGATTTTACCCGAGCCCGGGACACCATACGTCACGCGATAGTCAATTGCAGACTGGTGCGCATTACACGAGAAATTCAACTTTTTCGTTCTATTTTGCCACGGGAGTATCCAGCCGATTTTCTCTCGCTATTCCTCTCTTTTATCTAACTAGGGACGCAGACAGGATTTTTTTTAATAATGCAGGGGTTTGCTTACGGTGAAATTAAAAGAGCGTCAAAAGTGCAATTCACGGCGACGTAAGGCGTTTAATAAACTAAAAAGTATGCGTCGTTCACAGCGAAATTCCACGGTTACGGGTAGCTCGCCAGTCACCTCCATTTGCCTAACGGTGTTGGGGATATTTTGCAAGTCGTATTTCGAACATCTTCTAATTATCGACCATTATTTCGTAGTCAGTGGGTACCCAGATTTAGAAATAAAACAATAAAAATCGTGAAAATCAATTTTAGGCAGAAGTGCAACTCGCGGATGTCAGTGGCGTTATAATCGTTTATATATATACGTACAAATACACGCTTGCATGTAGCGCCGATCAAATGTATGGAATGCGAAACTATTATTTGATGTTAAATCAAGTCGATTTTTATTGCCATCCAATGAGTATTTATTTACATGTGCCATGATTTGTGGTGTGCAAAATCGTTTTTTTCCAATCGAAATATTCGAATGTTTTTAATATTTAACGAATACCGGATTGTGAAATATTGTCAAAGCTATTTTCGAAATTTATTAGAAGACTGAAAACTCGTTAACATAACAACACGGCGTTTTTTTATTTCATAATTTTGTCATAGTCGCTGATTATATTTTGTCATCGCGATCGGTTTGTCGGCGGCATACCAGTTAATGCTGGAACTTATCTTAAAGCACTTTTATGTTATGCGGACATCGTAGTTTGGTTTTTATCTTTCGGACAGAATTGTGAGTTTACATCGGTGAAGATGTTACAGCGTTATCAAGGAGTGAATTCACGAGTCCACGACACAAATTAATTTTATTTTTTATCTTCTGTGTAGGATTTGATCCTCCATATCACAATTTGTAAATTACTGTTTCAATTTTAATCGAGCATTATTATTATTATTGTTCCCGGGATGGAATATTTGTGTAGCAGATAGTTGACTCTTTTATGCTTTTAATTTTATATCGTTTCCGTGTTATTTTCATATTATATTAATAAAAAAAGCCCCGCCAATTGGTCATCGCCTGAATACTCAGTGTTGAGTATTTACGTAACTCATCTTTCGGTTAGAACACTAATACTAAATAGTTAAATGAATCGGCAATATTGGCATTTCTATGTGGTCAAAATAATATTTTCCCCTAAAATCTCGGGAAATTTCCATAGAATACATTATTTACTTAATCTGTTTCGACGTATCCAAATTTGAAAAGCGGAGTTCACCGGCTTTATGCAAAATTAGAAATTAAAAAAAGGTAGGCGTAGAAAGTAAACAAAAAACATATCACAAGATTTGTCACATTTGTCGTTTCCATCTGTTAGCGAGAGTCGTAGGTAAATTCTTACTCGTAATTTGTTGTAAATTAATATTTATAAATTTTATTTTGCTTTTTAATGCGTCATGATTTATATTATTAAAAGTGATTGCGCTGGAAAAAGAGAGTCCCTAAATTAGCTTTTAACCCCTCTCTCTTTTTGAGCGCGACGACGGTAATAACGACGGTAAAATTCGTCTCATGTCTGTTTCATTGAGAGAAGGAAAAATACGCCTTAGCAATCAACAATCACATATTCTTATATATCATTATCAGCGCCAACTAAAAAAAATGATTCTCCCGAAAGCAATAGTGTTTTGTGGAACGTTTTGAATTACCGGTACATAGTCTTATCTTTCGGAAATATTTAATTTACGGTCAATATACGCGAACAACAGCATCACTTTAGGTATTTATTTCGGAGCTATGTAAAAGTATTGGACTCGGGACTCGGACACGAGTCCAGCGCAAATACTCGTGATTCGGCGAGCCGAACCTTTTTGGATTCGTCGCATTAAATACCGTACCTGTTACCTGTAGGTAAAGTTTTCCAAAATAATAATAAAACGATGCATAGGTCCACGTCGTATCCAAAATCGATCCACATGTACATTTCGTGTCTAAATACAGCGGGCAGTCGACTAACAAACCCCCGCCTTTAATTTTCAAATGATGAGTTTATTTCGACTTCATAATCAGCATGACAGGCAATAGAATGATTGAAAACAAAAACAAATAAATAAAAAATGTTTATGAAATCAGGAGAGCAAACAAACCCTGAGAAAAGGTTTAAAACCAAGGTACCGAATATAAGATGGAAAGTTTATGACGTCATACAGTTTACACGGTTGAGAGAAAGGCCCAGACGAACTGAACGTTGTGGTCGTCTCTCGTCTGGATGTTGCCGTCAACTATTGATACGCCAGCTCTTCGGAGTTCAAGTTGTACCTGACTTCTGGCGAGGGGCACCGATATCTGATTACCAGTAGGCGAATATTTCACTGTTCACCGGCGTACATATGACAGTATGCTACAGTGAAGCGAATGGTTCAAGATATAGAGGTAGACTGACGGTACCGGTTCAGCGGTATTTGTTACCCAGTCCAGCAGTTACCGTACAACGATATCTGAATATAGCTGTATAGTGACTTTTGCAAATATTAAGTATGTTTTCAAATGAGGAGATTTAAACGGAGTTTGATATTTTGATGCATGATAGGATAATTAATTATCATAAAAACTGAAATCTATAAAGACAAAAATATTTACTGTAGGCTACCGTATTACAAAAATTCAGAAAAGTCAAGAAAGAAAGACATAAAAGTCATAATGCAGTACCCGGTACCGGTAGTTTGCAATCTCACATTGTCACATACCGGTAGGCGGTAGGCCTATATAAAAATAAAAAATCATGATGAGATGCAGACTTCAATTTTGTAACATGACTATATTATTAGGGATAATAATATATTTTTGATACCGTTAAAAGTGTTTATTGTAGTGAAAAATGGTGAACATAAATTATAAACTGAAATGGTCAGGAATGACTCGGTACCGGTAAGACACTTTGTTATCGGAATTTAAGCTCAAATGACGAGCAATAAATTCAGACTCATATTATCATTGGCATTCTAGCGCTTACATTATCTATAAAGCCAAACTAAAATAATAACATAAGTTATCTAACGTTATACATTTTGTGCTGAACTTGAACAAACAACGAAATGAATCAAACTAAAGTAATATATTAAGTAACATAGGATTGGACTTGTGGGCTATGTCTGTATGTTGAGATTAATGCGACTGAGCTTAAGATATCTCGTTTACAGTTTTAAATTCATTAATTTTCATGCTTGGTACCATCTCGTTGCATTGGTTTATTGTTTTTAAGTGTTTATTTGATTTTCTTAACTATTAATGGATAATCTTAATTTTCCATATGGCTATATCAGTCGGTCAGTATAGTGATGTCTGTTAATCTGTAATAATTGGCTAATTAATATCTCGGTGTGCTGACTGATGATACAGGTTGAGTTGATACATTTGAGTTGTTACCCAAATTCTCGTAATTAAATATTGTGTTCGACAACTACATTTGCATGGTCGTCAGATAAATTGGAATAACTGTGATTATCAACTTGTCATTATAATTCAGTAATTGATACTGTAGCGTTCATAAATTTGAACAATATTTCAACATGATTTCTTTTGCTACCTTGTAGTTCAAAGATAATAATTATGGTGCTGAACATGTAAAGGTTTACTACCTCTGTTCAAGTTTTAATTACCAAATCTTTTACTGCTGCTGTTATTCGTTAGTCAGTGAAAGATGGCTACAGTCAATGATTCATTTCCTGGGAATAATCCAGGCCCACTAGACTGTAACATGACACTTAATCTGGATTATGATACTGGGCTGGCTGCATTATGTGTGACGCTTGGATTATTCGGCCTACTATATACTTTTGTTGGTATGTTAATTTGATATTTTTGTCTATTACTTTTTTTGAAGTATCATGCATTTTTTGTATTGCTGGAATGTAGCTGTAATGTTGTTACTGTGTTAGGTTTCCAAATTTTTCGACCTACTCAAGGCCACAATGCGACATAAGGCTTTTGAGTTATGAGTTTAGTTTTTATTCTCCCTGGGAGTTTGAAAACAGGTACCTATACAACCCATGCCAACTATGCCCAAGCCCAGATATTCTATGAATCTACCTATATTTGGTAAAATAATCACTCTTAAACAACTCGCAAGGTGGTTAAAAATCAAACTCAAACCACATTATGCCACCTTGTGGTCCGAAACGTCAGTATACATTGTTTTTGCTTTGAGCGAAATTTAGAAAAAAAATTTTGAGGCTCTTTTTTTTTATTCAAAAATACTTTCAATATTTTAAAAATGTATTGATTTTAAACTTTTGCGTTTTAGGTTATCGTTGCTTCAAAGCGGTTATGTTTCTAAGTGGATTAATATTTGGTGGAACAGTCGTTTTCGTTTTGTGCCAAGAAGAACGAATATTGCAACATACACTTTCGTTTGGTGCTATTGTTGGTAGGTATTGATCGAAAAAACAATAATCTGGCATTGATTGTTATCAGCTGTTCAATTGCAATAAGTAAGATGGATACTCCTTGAATGAGATATCTAGGTTTTATTTTGAATGGTTGAATAGGCAAGAATGTCAATAAGAAATTTAGTTTACTGTGCCTCATGTATTTTTTCAGAAATGATTATTACATGTTATAATCACAATTGTTTCAGAAGAAAAAATTTTATATGTCAAGTGAATGTTTTTTCTGCAATTATCAACAAAATTCGAAACAAACATCCCAATAGAAATGTACACTAAATAGTATAGTTGGCCATTGAGTTGAGTTTCTAAATGAATGAACAGATTATTTAAAACATGTGTAATCTTAATTTTTCAATTCATTTTATCAAATTGGAGACGCTGCTGCAATTTTACTATTTGAAAATAATTCAAAAATATTTCGAATTAATACAATTTTTATCCAATTTAGCTTTTTAGTATAAACCATATATAAATTCTTCCTTTCAAGTATCGAACAAAAAGTTTTTTAATACATAGTGTGTACAATGCACGAAAGAGACAACAATACCATACAATACAGCTCCTGCTTTTCATTACATTATTTGACAAATAATTTATTTTGTGGTATTTGTTTTTCAGGTATTTCTGTTGGCATTGGTGTATTGTGTGGTTTTATAACAATGCTTGTTAGATATGCTGGCTTATTTTTACAAGGATTCTTTTTAGGCCTGCTTGTGGCCATTGGTGGTAAGTGGTAAACTTTTAGCATTTTAAAAGGATTTGCCTGTCTATCGTCTCATAGAAAGTCCTTGTTTATTATGTGATAGTGACTAGTGTCCCAACAGAAATATAGTTTGTTGCAATAAGGCTGTTTCGTGTCCACCCTCATGCTAATAATCACCAAATAGCAGTGGTTTTCGATCTCCATTCTTTCATTTGCCCTTTTCAAAATTGGCCATAACTCCATTTTCACTTTATTAAGTCTTTAACAAATGTCAAAAATGACTAATGGGATAAAAAGTACTTCGAAAGGGGAAATTTCAACACAGAATTGTAGACTCTTTATATTGATTGCATGAGGTTCACATAACTACAGTTGTTGGACAATGTATCAATATTCACTTTTACCCCGAGTAAAATTTTTCCCTAAGGGTAAATTCACTTCTGGTGGAGAACCCTCGAAATTGGGGTACTAAGTAAGATAGGCTATGCTATGCCTAATGCAATTCTCTATCTTTTCGAAAGTATGCACTAATAGGATAGGTATGGAAGGCCGACCTCATTAAAATATGCCAATAATTGCAATTAAATGATGTATTTTTATCAATACTAAGTTTTCTTGTTCTTACAGCAATCATAGCTTTACAAAAGTTTTACCATCCTTCTACACCATGGATTCCCGTTGGAATTTTGTTTGGAACTGGAATTATTTTTGCTCTGTTGACATTAAAATGGCAGAAACAGTTTATTTTACTCAGTACTGCTGTTATGGGTGCTGCACTTATTTGTGTTTGTCTCGAGTATTTTATGGAAAAGTTTTTATTATTAAGGTAAGCATTTGAATTCTAATGTAAAAGTTATTTTATTTTACGCTTCGGTGCAGAAAATTTTAATTTATTAGATAATTAAATATCTTCATCTGAAGGGTTAGCTGTTAATTTCAAGTAAGGATGCACAAACAATTTAGTAAATACTAAATCATGAATTATGTCAAATTTAGAAAATAAAATTTGACATTCGGCCGAATTTTGTCGCAGAACATCTATATTTAAATTATTCAATTGTAATTAATTGAATTCTAGAATACAAAACTATTCTGATATGTACACAAAATTACAAACTTGTCAAATATACTTCTGTTTCTGGTTTTTTGTCATAATGACAGAATAGTTTGGCCAAAGTTTTGTTTCCAACAAAGAAACATTTTTCTTTTTATTTCTTTTTGTCGTTTGGAGATGCCAAACAGAATTTTCTTCGAAAATGATTTGATTCAGAGTAAGTGATGTAATAGATTTTTCCCAAAATATATTTTGCTTTGTGAAATTTATTGGAAAGTGCCCGGGGCAATTCATTGTATGAATTATATTAAATTTATATGATGATATCAATTTAATATTGTGATAAATGATATGATAGCTGTATTGTGTTCAATATTATTGGCAAAATTGTTTGATTTATTGAGTTCATTTGCATCTTTTGTATCAATTATTAATTACGGTTTTATGCCTTTCATATTCCCAATGGGCAAGTTGTGAAATCATCAACATTTGGACCTGGCATATGTGACTTTCAACTTAGCAAATGGATTGGAAAATCGTTTTAAATGAAAACTGTTTTGGACATTAATTATTTTATATTCACAAGGAAATACTTTGCATCACAATTATTGTAATCATCAGAAAACAGCCTTGTTTAGGTTGATTAAGGTTATCCATTAAGTTTTATCAATTAAACCTTAAAAATATATTTATATCATATATACCTTTATTAGAAGTTTTAGAAGAACAGAGTTATATTCGAAGTATATATAAATGTAACAATTTAATCAATCATAATATATACATTTCTTTAAAGTTATTTTTGACCTTGTGTGCAAAAAAAAAACACAATCAAAATTTCATCAAAATTGTAAATGTAAATATATTTGATTATACTTGATATGAAACTATTTTGTGTACTTAACTTCAAAACAGAAAACTATTACACTGATAAGTGTGTAGCATTGCGAAACCACTATTATTACCCTGTATCCAGATTTTATCGAAAAGTAGACATGAATAGATACCATAATGCATGATAAAAAACTTTTTTCAGACTTAACTTCTGAAGAGAAACCGATTTTATTTAAAATGTGGAGCATAGTGAAACCACTAATCATTATGTACTACATGATTTTTGTTAAGTAAAGGGTTTTGATAAAACATGGTTATTGTTTGTATTGTCTATCACATGCTTGATATTAGCGAGTCAAATTATAAGAAAGTGATTATATTCTTACATATTATCCTTGGTATCTGTAGTCTTATGAATTTTTAATTCAAATAATTTAAACAATGGGATTTTTGACATGACTGAAACTGATGTCGATAATGAACAATGAATTTTGGCAACTCAAGGGTCATTTTCTAGTTTCCTTGTCTGCTTTGAGTGGTTACTACGACCTGCGAGAATGTTTTTATGTTCATATTTCTCAATTTGACAAAAATTGTCAATCTATTAGTATTTTTTTAAACTTCGATTTTCTTCTGTATTGATTATTTCATTCACTTTAAAAAATTAACAAAAGTGAAAAGTTTTACCATTCATAATTTAAAAATGTATCGCATAAATACATATTGCTTATATACATGTTCACAGCTGTGTTATTGATCACTTCAAAATCCTATTGAAAGTCTGGCAACACACTTTCAGTCATTCACTGATGTAATTATATCACGGATTGACGTGAAAGAACCACGAATTGTAATATTGGGGTTGGAAATTCACGATTTTCATTCTTTTTCTAGCTTTTTGAAAGTGTCGTTTCTCGGTAATGTTTTTCATTAACATTTTTACAGATATATATGGGAAGCATTAATGGCTTCATCGTCTACAGATGTCTGCTGGTATTCATGGGTTATTTTAGGAATTTGGCCAATTCTTGCATGTAAGTCATAATATTGATTAATTTAGTTGTTTTCTTGGAAATAAACCGAGCAAATTTTCCCCAGCAATGGTCGTTTGGACGGAGTTTTAAAAGTTCAGTTGCATGTTTAATACTTATCACATTTTAAATGAGATTGCTGACCTCTTATAAAGTTCAGAAAAATGATCACTACAACATGGATTACCTAATAAGCAAATATTATATTCATGTTTCATTATCATTATCTCATCTAAGAAAACAATTTATTACTCAAAGCCCCATTGACAAGTGAAACAATGCTCGAACCAAGTTACTTGAATAAATGTGCATATTCGAAAATGCAGGCAACACCACAGACCACATTTACTTATACATGTACAAAGCCATCTCATCTACAAAATAATTTGAACTATAAACTTTTGAATCATTTCAAATATTCCAAAATGTTAACTTTTCAAGAGTTGATATGGTGCTCCTGGTAAATTGTCACCGTCAAACCAGTAATTCGAAGTGTATTTATAATGAACATGCGGAAAATGCTCTCAAATATAAGATTTCGATTTGTAGAATTTGAGCAATGGCATTACAAAATACCATAATGTAATGTTCTATGGCGAACTGTAATTGTAATTAAAATAAATTTCTTTTTCCACAGTACTCGGTGCTGTTATTCAATGGAAATTTACTGGGAAAGGATATGATCACACAGACGGTAAGAACTTTTTTAATAACGCTTCAGTATTAATTTCATAGAAAATGAAATTACATGATTACATATTTTCATCTAATCATTCTTGTACAATTTTATAATGCCTTAAAAGCAGCGTGCTGCCCATGGTGAAACCTCATGCAATATACAACACACTTACCTTGTTCATTATTGAACTGTCGCCAATAGTGTTTCCTTTATCAGCTTTTGCAGTCTTGTGTATATTATTATGCATTATTCGTAGAGAATAAATCAATACATATTTCCTGTGAGGTGTGCTGCCATATTGTCAAAACTAATTATAAGGGGATTAAAGGATATTACTATTTACTTGATGAGAGATCTATCTTTGACAATCATCCAATTTTATAAATTATATATAACTCTAACACTTGTGGCCGATTGCATTTTTTTCTTCTAATGAAAATACCTACCGGTACTTTTGCTTTTAACACCTTTCTATGCATTATTTTATGCCCCACATTTAGTAATAAAAAGCCAACAAACCAAGGTAAATTATAAATGTATTCCAGTGAATGGAAGATATCTTAGTTAATTTACTTTATCGCGAATAGTACCTAAGGTCTTTGCATATGGCCCCCAGAGAACCGTTCCGTGAGCAGAGGGCCCAGTTTTATCAACCTTGGTTTAAAATATAAAGGCTTTGATAAAAAGTTTGCCCTATATATAAACAAATATATTTTTTCGCAGTTATAATTTTGAGAGGACAAAGAAAGAGAGTTCGAACACATTTGGTACGACAGCGTCGACGCAATCATTCACCTACTGATACACTTACCTCTGTTGCTTCTGAGCCGCCGAGATCAAGACCAAACAGTGCAAGAGCAGTATCCCGTGATAGAGATCCTCAACAACAGGTTTCAAGACATTCAAGTCAGCAAGAGAGAGGACGAGCAAGAGGTGCACAGCGTCAACAAGCTGCGGGTGCTGCTACCAACTTCGATACTTTACCTCCGGTAATATACTAATATTCTTTAAACAATATTTGCATGTTTTAAATTCTACCTCCACGATAAATTAATTTGGCTTGTAGTAAAAGGAGGGTAGGATCTCTTCACATGTTTTATATTTTATTAGCCTATCTCTTAGAAAGATCGTCATTGTTTTCATTCTACTATGACAATAGTAATTTTGAATTTCTTTTTTATTTTCAGTTTTAATGCATAGTGTAGGCATTTTACTTTGCCAACTTAATAATGCTTTTATTAATGTGTTACTTTGTGTAGTATGTATACAACACATGAAAACATTACTCTGCTATATTGCAAAATGCAAATCATAATACTGTACTGATTACCGGAATTTATCAAACCTTATTATCTTCATGTAAAGAAGTGGTTCAAAATCCAAGAGTTTTCCCACCATTGACTTTCTTTTTTTTCATTTCCTAGCCTATACACTTATACACACTAGCTTATCGGAAAGATGTTAATGATTATACAAAAATTGAAATTTTAAAAGCGGCTCGGACACTTTCTTCACTCAAACATATTTTCAGACACTGTTGTAATCATTAATTAGTTTTCATTGTTATGCTAAGCTATTTGTCACCTTTTATTTCTAAAATTTCTCCTAAAATTTTGATACAAATCAAATCACTCAATGGTTGTTTTCACTCCTAAGTAGTGTAGCAATCCAAAATTAGCCCTGGAAAATTGCGATAGACTAGACTAAAATAAGCAACCAATTCTTTTAAATGGCATAATGGTTTAATATTCTGAATCAAAACGATGATTATGAAACCAGTTAACTAGTTTATTGAAGCCAAGTCACAAAAACACTCTCAAAATAATCATCAAAAATATTGCAATGATAAATGTATCAAGTTACTTGTAGTCTAGGCCAGGGTCAGGGAAACAACCTTCAAATTGAAATATTCGTAACAATGCTACAGAAGTATATTCTATCAAATATTCAAAATTTTAGTTCACAGGATCAAGTATCTTAGCATACCAGCTTTCATGATGTCACCCGAATCTAATTCTTAACATGCAACAGCTTTTCTTCTCTTTCCAACATATTAATAATTCATACTTACAATTATTTCTTTGAGCTCTTTGTTTCCTCTCGCAATAATAAAATGAAACATTTTTTGATAATTTCTCGACGAAAAACCTAGATTTTCATTTCACAGTGTTAACGTTCAAATTTTTTTTATCAATAATGCTAGGCAAATGGTTTTTTACTGGAGAAAATGAGTATAGTTAGCGTTTTCCATTTTGTATATGACACTGGCCATAAATGAGGCTATACTAATAAATAATTTTGGGTGGAAGTCTGTAAGCACAAGAGTCGTGAGACTCGAGTCAATCACTGCGTTGGTATCATTGGCAACGAGTCCGAGTCACCTTGAGTCTCTGAAAAACAATGACTGGAGTGGAACTTAAGTTGAGTTAATGACTCAAGCTTCCCCAACACTGGTTTGAGTAGAAGCAGAATATAATTTTTATATTACACAGAATGCTTTAATGAATTTTTAGTAATCAGACCCACATGAAAGCTCATATATTGTGCCATTGTTAAAATATAATATTCATTACATTTTAGAAGATTAGAATCAGCAATTGCTTATCATTTCATTACATTGTACTTAGACTTAGAATTAGATATAGGTCACTTTATCTCTTTCTCAAATCAGAGTGCCTAAATTTTGACCTACTTTAGGAAATGTGCTAACACTTAATGTTTACAAAATGGATAATCTCATTCTTTGTCAAACATGCTGAGCTGTCTTTCTGACACTTTGCTTTGTATAAATAAACTAAAAGTTTTTCACAACTTTCTGACCATGATCTCAGTTTTTCTATATCATATCAGTTGCAATTATAATGTAACACATATATACTACTTTTATAATATTTGAGTGTTTGTGTAAAAAGACATTGTGAATACTTGGTAGCGTACAGATGGAGTAGTTTTGTTATAATTTTTGTTATCTCTATACTATTAAAACACCTTTACAGGCGACGCTCTTTTTCTGATTATACAACGATTGAAAATGAATTTTTTGCTTAAAATTCGGAATAGTCTAACACTCCATTATCCTAATTGGAGTGGTAGTCAATTGAAGTTGTTTTAGTAATTTTCACCATTGAAAATCTGTAATTCTGACTCAGGAGTGTGAAAATACTACAGTTTTAGTGACAAAATGCTAAACTCTGATACCAAATACCTGAAACGCAGCTTGAAGCATTTGTTTTTGTTTTTATAAGACTTTCAATCACCTACATATTTTTTTCAGAGTTACGATGATGTGCAGCGCGGAGCAGGGAAGCCTGTTTCTGAAAATGAACAAAGCCGTATTGTAAGAACTAAACATGGGTCTTTCATTGCCCCCGCTGGGCAACGGCGCGCTAATATTCCAAACACAACGAACACAAATGAAAACGTTGGAAATAGACCAGCTAATCCCCTCCGAGACCAAATTATTCGTAATGCGGAAGCAGGTGTTGGATATACTGATTCCTCCGATCCAGGACCTTCTAATCCTCCTAGAAACTCCGAACGTGGTCGTAATAACACTCCGAGGTCTAGCAGTGCTGGAAGGAATCAAGAACGCCCTCGACAACAAAATAATCAAAGTCCTAATCGTTCACGACAAAACTCTAGTCGAGGACGTGGCGGTGCACAGCGTAGTTCATCGAGAGGTTCTCGCTCATCCCCAGCTCAATCAAGATCACGACGAGGGAACGGAGCGAGAGGTGGTTCATCTCGGGGTCGAAGTTCAAATTCAGGTTCATTAGATGATAGACAATCTTTACTTACATCAGAAACGACACCGAATGCTGGTGCGGTTTCCTCGCGCGGCAGACGACCTCGTGCAAATGAAGCCATGGCTGCTCATGCAAGAAGGGTTCAAGCTGCTCAAGAAAGACGAAGACAAAATACGTGATACGGTTCTTCAGATTTAATTTTATCAAACAGAATGCAATTGTGATCACACTAGATACTACCAATACGAATAGATTGTTGGCTAACTAGCTAATCAAAATGATTTTGAGAAAAAATTGTAGATTTTTGCGAGTTTGAAAAGTTGAGCCGAAAACCTAATTTCTATGTATTTGTTTCCTTATACTTGATTTTTTGTCATTTTTCAAACTGTACTCTGTTACACATAGCGAACATCTTCAGGAACAATGTTCTGAAATTCTACAATTCATTTCTACACACTCTGACTGATACACAGTCAAATTCTAAATTTGAATTCGAGACATTTACTTTATTTCCATTTGAAATTTAACAAAAAGTCAAAAATTAAAAAAAATTTTCAGCAGTTTTTGCCAATGATTTTTTTTTTGTTTGTTGATTTATTCATTTGTTGATGTCTGAATTCAATGGAAATTGCCAGATTTTGAAACGTTGACGTTGTTTATTTACACAACTTCACTGAGATTAATACAGCTGAAAACTTGATGCATTTATGTGAATGAAATATTGCTCATTTTGTGAGAAAATACGATAACTTATATAGACGACCTGTACAGGGCATTGTTTGGAGCAGAAGCCCAGAAGGCATAAATAAGTGTAGTATAGAAAATTCAATGAAACTTCAGCTAAACAATTATGTCAACAGCAAATGTTCATTTGATTGTGCAGTTGATAGTTGCAAAAAGGATTCAATTTTTTCATGTAACATGTTTCATCTACTTTACCTAGGCTACTGATCAATATTTCGGAGATGAATTGCGCAGTTAAATTTGCAAAAATTCTTTGATTATTTTCCTATTGTATTGATGTATTATTGTATTGATCACGTTACAAAGAGCGACTTGTGTCCAACTTTTAATATCAAGCAATCTTTATCAATGTACAAATCAGATAATACTTTTATCCGGGACTGTTGAATCTTGGGAAATTTACAATGTACTCAAACTCCGGGTTGAAACTCTGACTCGACTCGTCATGAAAACCGACTCCAGTTTCGAAATCACAGAAAAAGAAAACCGTTTATGACTCTTGTTTAATATACTGATAAAAACAGCTAGTAAACCTTCAGCTTCATATACCACCAAGTTGCACTTTTCCATCATTTATCAAATATCGAGTCTAATGATGAGACATTTTTATTATAATCTTAGTATAATGGTATTCCAAAAGTTAGCCATTAAAACTTTTCTTCATTTCTTACTATTTGACTTATAAGCTTAAAGCTTTGACGCTTGATGTATTTTATCGTCTATAGCTGCCATATATTTCCTGTGATTGCAATGGTGTACCCTTTATTTTGTTTTTCATTTTTTAAGATTTTTTATTTAAATTTTGCTTGAATGTTTGCCAAGAATATTGTCATCCATCTGTTTTCTGTTTGAACCACCGGCAGCAAAATCTATTATATTTTAATTCCCGTTTCCAATTTTTTTTTAACCTCATAGAAAGAAAACATGAGAAAATGAGTATGTATCTTCAATCTATTGTTAAAAATTTAACAATGAAATCATACAGAAACAAAATTCGACAAAGATGTAAATTCAAACTGTTTTCATACAATATAATCACACATTTTTGAAAATTTTCTTTATTACTACTTCTGACCAAAAATGGCTGTGATATCACAGTTATCATGTTAACCCTCATAAGTGTTGTCAACTATCTTCTACATTTCATGGTAACATTCCTGATCAATTCAAACGTGGTCCGTGGTTGTAAACTGCTTTTTTTTGTTAATGCTTAAGACATTGTTCAATTTAAAAACAGTGTTCACTGAATAACACAAAAACCTAGAACGAGGTCTTAAAATGTCTCAACTCGGGCATTTTGTATCAGTCATGCTTTCCACATATCTGGGAATTTATTTTTTTGAAGATTATATGTGCCATACAGAATATCCTAGTTGGAAACTTGTGAGAACTGATCAACTGCAGTTTTGCAAATTGTATGAAATGTTCAAGAATAATAGACAGTTAATGGTGCTGGGATCAATGTTGGACTTGTATTACAGATAAAAGTATCACTTTGATTTTTGAATCGATATTTAAAATTCAGAAAATCTGAAATTTAATTTACAAAAAAAAAAGTTTTTTCCAATCGTACGTTTTTGCTCGAATGATGCTTTTTTAGATTAGTCAAATATTAAGTGCATATTGTACACACGACTTGTGATTTTTCGGCATCCCTAAAGGTAATGTTCTTGTACGAACTTTTGTGTTTATCATGCTATCTTCTTGTAACAAAACTGTGAATTTTACACTTTTTGAAAACTACGTTTTAGAATGATCCTCTAAAATGCTTCTTATTAGACAAATACAAAGATTACATTGTATTGTGGTCCCGAGTTATTAATCTAGTCAATGGGAGGCATCCGGAAAATGTAAGAAATGCATTTGCTGAAATAGCGGTTCCCAAACTTATTGTTCCCGCGGCGCCAAATTATTAGGGGAAAAAAATCACGGCGCACTTGTACCAAACATAAATTCCTACATTCAAATAAAACTAAAAACTTTGATCGGTAATGTGTACTTTATACCTTTTGTAGTATGTAGGCCTAAAGATTGAGGGCAAAAGATAAACTTTCTCATCTCTGCCTGATTTTCTATTGAAATACTAAATAAATCACTAATGTTCGCTAAACTCGGTTCAGCAAATAAATCAACTGCAGCATGAGTGTCTACCTCTATTGTTACGTAACAGAAAGTAAACGACATGGATAAAATGAATTTATTGATTCATATACACGCTATTTAAAATAAACAATAACACATTTAAAATACAAGACGTAATTTTCGCAGCGCACTGGTGGGGAACTTCCATTGAGATCCGCTAATCTAAGTGAACAACAAAATCGAAAACTAGTTTCTGGCGCTGGTTCTTGTGTACCAAATTTTTTTTTTTTGAAAATTTTCTAATTTTTAGCATTTTTCGATGATGGTCAGACATACAAATAACTCAGTCCTGACACCAGTTACGACCTGGAATCTTCAGTATGCAGACTTCTCTACACTGATATCCCAAACTAACAATTTTTTTGCCGAAAGTTTGAAAATCCAGTTGTGAAAAACTTGCCTGATTACTCCGCCCAGATAACTCTTTGTTTCTTTATGATTATCATGAGCTTCTCCTGAAGATATAAACTTCACAGATAAGTAGATAACGGTCCTTAGTCGTAGCTCCAATATGAATCCCATCCTTTTTTCCTGCAATACATTGAATCAGGTTAATCAAGTTTTAAAATACCATGTTGCAGCGGTTGGTGCATCGCGCTGAGCGTTAGTAAAACGCTCATCGCACCTGCGTGGGTCGCATTCCGTGGGGGATACGATTTACATTCTTATTTCGGGGGAAAAGAAAGCCGATAAGCAATATTCCGAACACGATAACTTTGTTGTACCTTCAGTAAACATCGCAATGGTAGAGGAAATATTAACTATCACAAAAAAAGAATAATTCTCAATCCGGATCCCATTTTCGCTTGGTGGCGCAACGATAACTGTCCATCCGAAGGCTTCATACGCCGCGGGATTAGCAAAAAGCAACTTTCAATGTGCATAGAAATTGAGTCGAGAACATCAGAAAAATACTCTTCGTGTGTGTCTCATTACAAATTTATAGGTAATGTAGCTAACTTCGTTTAACAAAATTTTGTAATTCCGCTAGAACGGTTAGCCAGTGTTCAGTGGTAACTGTTCAGTACGGTATTTGACTGAAAATTGCCTCAAAGTCAAATACTGTTTGAAGCTAAGAGGAATTAGGGATTGGCTAACTAGTGAACTTCTAATAATTACTATCAAAACTAGGTGACTATATTCAAATTTGAATATCCTAAGATTGTGGTATTTGAACTGAACCTTTCTCATCGATAGTCATGTCTCTATCTGCCTGTACCAAAATTTATCCGTGCCTTTATGGCACGGAAAAGAGGAAGACTGGGAATAATTATTGCTTCAACTTCTGATTGAACCGACAAAGGATCGAGAATAAAGCCTTCACTGTTTACTACTTTTTAATAGGATAAATTTATTCCTGCACTTTGTCCCGAAAATCCCCCAGTCCACTTTAAGCCATTCAGGTGTCTAAAGATTTTCTTAAAATAGTTCGCAATAGACTAACAGAGTAGACAGACATACACCACGAGTGGTGCATCCGCATTTAGGCCAATCTTGAGCGTTTACAGAGAGGTCATTTTGATTGTTTGTTTTTCATACTGTTAGTTTGAGATATTATAGTTATTACAACATAAGTCGCTATGGCAAGTAGTCTCCGATGCATGCCACCCGATCGCGATACTAGAAGAAAACAGAAATTTCGTTCATTGAAGCGAAGCGTTCAGTTCGCAAGTAACAGACGGGTAACACTTTATTCACTAAACCTATTAGAAGACATTTTCAATTGCAGTAAATTAATGTTTTTTTTTTCAGTGGTGTTTCTTTGCTGAGTTTGATAACGTCCCAAAAGAAATCACCAATGCTTCTGTACAAAAGCTGTGCAGTGAATATGGAAATATCACTACTGTACAAGGGCTCGACAATTTCCAAACGACGGCGAATACAAGAAAATTGTAAGTAACAAACTTAGCACTGCGTTCAATCAGATTTTAGTGAATTATTGTGAAGAGGGGGATATCAATCATATTATTGAAATCAAGCCCTGTTTTCAATATGAAACACGGACACGAGGCATAGCTGTTCTTTACACATTATCGTTTTTTGTGAGTTCCAAATCAGGCGCATAAAAACAGTGGGATGATTGTTTAGCCACAAAATTCATATATATGTACGATCGTTTCGCTCTCTCCCCTACCCCAAGAGCATTGTGTGTTGTTGGTGTATTTTTGTGGTCATTATTACACAGCTGTGTGTAGCGTACTAAAATAAACTTTTACAAATTACATTTCAAGATCGGTAGGCTTCGCTTCTCCCTTGTGTGCCTTCGCTGCACAAGAAGCCCTGAATAATTACGATATTGGAAAAGACGCTTCATTAGGACGAGTCCATTTGTTACGCGTACGGCACAATCCTGGCCGAAAATCGTACGTGGCTGAAGGTATTTTTTTATTACTATTTATATCCTTCCATTTGAGTTACAATGCCTGCTGTACCTAGTCTGTAAATTGAGATATTATTTTCAATTACCACCATAGATATATATATATATATAGCAAGGATAGGGGTTATATCTATGTCCGAGACTTCAACTTGCTAGCCTTCTCCATGCCTATAACCTGTACTAGTAACAGTAGTTTGTAGTATATTCGGCCTACATTAACTTTTTTATTTCCTGGGACCGATATGACATACTATCAAGCATAGATGAATGAAATATGATATATATAGGAGATCCCAATTCTACTCTACACAAATAAAAATGACCATTGTGTTCAAAATCTTAGGTAGCACTATTTGGGCATTTCAGGAAAAATATTATATGTGGAAAGTTTAGCGATCTTTCATGTTTAACTTTGAGGTGGTTAGTTTCGTGTCATAAGATTCTCTAAGAAAAAAGACTTGCAAAAGTGAACTTGCATGCGCTATATAATATAGATCAGCCATTTCAGCAATCCGTCTTGTCAACCACAGGTAAAAAACACAAGTGTGAAGAAGACGATTCTCATCAAAAACAACGACTTGAAGAATTATCTCAAATTCATGTTGAAAATTGCCATATCCCGCTGAGTAAAGTCTTGATTAAAACAATGAGAAGCCTCAATATAAATATAAAACGTAAATTCTTATTGCACAATTCATATACATATAGCCATTGTCAAGCTTCTTTTTCCATCCAGTAAAACACAGCATGTGACGAACCAGCGATGGTTATCAAGCAGCGACCGAGGTTCAAATATATAATAAAAACATTTGTAAGCAAGAAAATATTAATTGTCAGGATATATATATATAAATGAATAAAAGCGTATCTTGACTTTCAGGTCAAGAGGGTACAACGTCATCAACAGAGATGCAACGAGTTCGGGGGATTTTGCAGCAGTTTCAAGAGAATATCGAGGCATTGTCAGATTAAGAAGTGTAACCGAAGTTTATAGAGTCAAATTGAATTTCAATAAGAGAAAAAATCACTATTTCGACTGCACGGATTATGTTTTAACAGTGTGAGCTCTGAGCTTATTTTCATTTTTCTGTTTTATTTACATGCTTAAGAAATACATATTCTTTCAATTGGCCATGTTATAATACAATTCACATAATTTAGTACAGCGATTCTCAAAGTGGGCGATATTGCCCCAAAACAGGGGCAAAAATCCGAGAGGGCGATTGCGCATTTTCGGAAAGTCAAATTTGGATAAAATCGCCGATTGTTTTCCTGTGGGTATTTAGACCGTGAACATCGGTAATTATGTCGATAAACTATATTTCCGCGAATTCTTCTTGCCCCCCTAAATAGTCCCCTGGATAGGCGCCAAAGGACGTTGATAAAGAGTTTTTTTCTCCTCCTGAACTGTGTGGAAATCCCGTCATTATGCGAACATCTGGGACGAGCCTCTAAATACAACCTAAGGATTGGATACACAAAACCAATTTCCGACTGAAAAAAAGGAAGTGAATATTAAAAATAGAAAGCGGTGTTATAATATAAATTAAAAAAAAATTAGTTTCAAAGAGTACCGCGACTGATTAAAAATTCTATTCTAATAATGTGCGCGATTGCATTTTGTTACAATCGCCGATTTTTTTCCTCAGCATGGCGGCGTGTTATTGAATCTACATCTTTACGCCGGTGATTATTCTCCCTAAATCAAAAATTTCCCTCGTCATATACATGTATTGTTACACAATGACGACGTTAAATGCTTTTTTGTTTTCGTGGGTAATTATGAGTTCAATGTGAAAAATATGTTACCATTTTATAGTCATCGGCGACGAACTGCTAAAAATAATAATTAATGAAGAGGTAGATCCGCAACTCAAATTTCTTGATTGAAAAGCGGCATTCTAAAATATTAAAACTAAATCTTAAAATGGAAGATCACACGTTTGGTTTCAGCAGACTCACCTCAGATCGAAAACGCTTTTATAGACATTGTAAATCACAAAATTTGCTGTTATGTTAGATTTTCATCGTAGTAACTGCAAAATCGAAACACAGTCAATTGTGCGTGCGATGCACCTTTTTTCCCATTTGGAAACTGCCGACGGAGCCGCACGCAATCAATTGTGAGCGCGATCCGCGATGTACCTTTTTTCATTCTGAAACTACCGACGGAGCCGAATGCAATAAAATAAATTTCAATTGTTCGTATTTTGCCCAGACATTGTGATTTTTCAAACGGCGATATGTTGCTTAAAAATAATCCCAAGTGCGAAAGTAGTACATTCAAATTTTAAATTACCGCCGGGTCGCATTTGACTTCTTTACCACATTGCGATGATGATATATATAACTAATCAATGTAAAATATGTTCAATAGTGTTTTTATTTATTCTAAAATAAACTGTATATACTCTTTAGGAATTTGTCGCCGTCCTTCGGATTTTTTTAACGGCGATATCTTACAAATGATCTTAAGTAATAATGTTGCAAGAACAACTCGAAAAAAATAATTCAAATCTAAATATAATCGGGCAGTTTTCCACGTATTTAATGTACACAGGTTGTAGTAGTAGTATCTCAGAGTAATAATGCTTTTACCTAATCGTTATAAATTGTTCTTAAATAATCTTTAAGCGGCTCAAATTTAACAAATTACCAAGATCACAAAAATTCGAATCAATTCTAATTATAATCGGGCAGTATGCCACGTATTTTCATGTACGTAGATTGCAGTATTTCATAGTAGTAATACTTTTATTTTATTGTAAGTCGGCGAGTTATGTTGTAAATAATAGTTAAATTAATATGGCAAAAAATTTTTTGATGCTTGTATCAGCGGCCATGGACTGAACAACAGAAAAATCATCATTATTGTAAAATTCGGCAATTTTAACGGTAGGCTTAATCGCGACGACTATTTTAATCGGAATTTCCGTTTTCTATTTTGAATACAAAATAAAATTCACTGATGATATAGTTTAGGCAAGTCATCTGGCATTTTTGACAACGTAGAAATGTTGATTTTTCATCTCTAACATTTTATTTGGTAGAAAAGGGGTCATCAAAGCTAGGAATGGTGATGATTTGAGATGGTACCTGACTAAATTGTCTTCAAATATTGAAAAATCTTGTTGAAAATCCTCTATCTTATTGAAAAACATGATGCACCAGGATCAGTCTGTTTGTTTATTTGTTTTAAATTAAATTTGTTTCTAACATCATGTTTTGTTGTAATGCTGAGGGCGATGATAACATGAAAAGTACTGTAAAGAGCGACCGTACAAAAAAGTTTGACAACTGATCTAGTATATGGGGCGTTATGGATTGAACACCAGAGTTATTTTCCTAGACAGAATTAAAGAAGTTCAGTTCATTTAAAAATTGATGACTCCGGATTGGAACATCGGCGCCAACTACAAGATTTCGACATTCCGAAGTACCGAATTCGGTTTCATAACTTTTGAACCCACGTACATTTGAACCCATGACAATTGCACCTGCATACTATTGCACCTATGGAAATTTTTTGTTTTACGGAGATTTGAACCCATACTAACCCTAACCCATGGGGTTTAGCACCCGCATATAGATTGAACCCGCGGATATACACATGGGTTCAAATGTACGGTCACCACCTAATTCCGATAGCTGGGAGTTTGAGAAATTACTACTGACTTTAGAAATTTTAAATATACAAATCTTGTCTTCAATGTCAGCAAAAAAACAAACTCGAACTTCACATCCAAAGCTATGCTCATGTCATATTTTGTATTTGACACAACGAGAAAATCCACCGACATATTGAATTTTCCGTGGCCCGTGAAATATATCATGACGCCGTAAATGGATTTTGAATATATTTACTAACACTACAAAATTGCAGCTGTATAGTCCGGAATATAAGGGGACCTTCTTGGCCCAAGTTTGATTTCAGACACAAAGTTATTTTTTTATTTGTGATTATTCATCTTGAGGTCATTGCCCATCATTTCCACATGGGTGTGGAGTTTGCACCCTTGAGCAATTTTTTTACGGCTCGATATTTGTATTAGTGTTTTTCGTCAAACCTGTGCATCATAATGACGCACAACCTGAACCATAACCTGTTACAATACTATGTTCAGGTTACTACGCAAGCACCAAATTTACTAGGAAATAAAATCTATAACTTCTAGGTATTTGTTGAGCCCAGCTTTGGGTCGCGACCCATATACAGTATATGGAAATACTGTCGAAACATACGCGTAAAATAAAGAGTATTATACTATTTCAAAATACCCGTTTTTGTTGCAATTAACAATACAAGCCTGCTAATGCAGTCGCCAGTGGTTCAAGTGAATATACACCCGGTGGAGAACAGTCAATTATTTGTTAGCGAGAATTGCTATGCAGCGGGATGATCACGACGACGCATTGAAAGATAATGATATCACGAGAACAAGAATGAGAAAATTGCTACGTTTCATAGTATATCCCTGGGAAAGAATGTAGTTCATTATGTTCCATGCCAATGCTTTTCAAACTACCAAAGACTCTCAACACTTTTGCTTCTTCTCTACTATAAAAATACATTGTTATTATATATTCGCATTTCCATCTGTTTGTTCGTGCTCCCAGATAACCGATCAGCGGCCTCCAAGGAGGACGGGGTCCCCTTTTAGGAAACCCTGTCATAAACTAAAAGAGGCAACCGTGCTTTTCTTGCCTGTTGTCATGCTGTCCCTAGAATTCAGCTACAACAAAAATTTCACCAAAACGGAATTTCAAATTTTATGATTTTATTAATATTCTCAACAATGAATGATATATGGGTGGTAAAATGCCAAGTTATTCCAACAACATGATCATGTTTTGCAATTTACAACCAATATTTTGTATTTAACTTTGTTTGACAGAGCCCCAGGAGTTCTAACTACAAATACCAAAAATGTGAGGTCAAAAAGTCACACTACAACATTGTCAAATGTGCTGTATTTACGACAGATAACAGGTTCACCAAAAAGAATTACATGAAAAATGGTAAAATAAAGATCAATTCAGCAATATCTACTTGGTGATATGCATCTGTTGATGATTTTATGTGTTTGTTTCGGAAGTTTAATAACAGAATTAATTGTGGTTGTTGAGGGTGTTTTAAAAAAAGGTCGCATGGAAAAAAGTTTTCACAACATGTCAAGGTTTGATAGTAGTAGAGAAGTAGAAAAAATACTCCCATGTTTTTTTTTTTATTTGATAACCACGCCACAGAACTTCCGCGATAAGTATACGCAGCAATTGCGAGAGGCAGAAATGCCAAGATGGGATTTCATCGCATTGCAAACCAATATTAGCAATTCTTATATATATTTGCGCATTCCCATCTGAACAGCGTGGAAAAGATTATACCCATCTACACACTTTTGGAACTATGTCAGATGAGCGTCATATTATCGAATATCAGTAAAGGAATAGTGCAATGGGAAAAGACATAAAAGGCGGAACTTTCAGTAGTATGCAATCAAATAATCTTATTGTAGAATATATATTTAAAAACATTTCGTCACGCCAACTGCAGTCCGAAACTTTTTGTCTCTGGCTGAGCTTAGATACCAATTGGCACTCATGTAAACTGGTAAGACTGTAAGAGGCACGCGATGGAGCAGATACTGAGAGTATCCAACCCCCTACTGTCATTTGAGTGGGTCTGCTGTTTTTATCGCAGATGTTACTGATTTTTTTGTATTAATGATTTACTGGCATCCCCGATTTAAGGATGTTGGAAACCAACACACAATATTACAAAACTTACTTTCAACACGCGGTTTGAATGAATGAAAAAGCTGAAACTAGTATTCTTTAGAACAGCATACAAATTCTATGGAATGAAATCATACACGAAAGCTCGTTAAAAACCTATAGCTCAATAATCAAGTGGAATTTGATGCATGTGCGCAAAAATGTGCGCGTTACTACGTACAACCGAAGCACGCAGGAAAATGTGTGTGATGTACTAGTATTCAAAACGTTTGACTCAACTATGTTGGCATAACAGGTGCACATCTCGGTTTCGCATACGCATACCTTCTATCTCCACAAGGATATATTAATTTTGCCAAAGTCAATGCAGCACTGACTGAAAGGTTGCGGTTCTTCCAAAAGAAAAACACGTTACACATCTTTAGATACCAGTGGATGGTTTTCCATGGCCTTGTTCGGTGTGAAAGACGAGGTCAAATATTCCAATCCAATTCAACTAATAAAATATTTCCCAAGTCCCTAAGCTTAAACTAGGAAAACGAAATGCGCGCGGCAACGCATATGTAGTTTGAAGAGCGCAATAGAAAGTGGATACATGCTGTCGAATGACCTTGGCTTGTATTAGTGAAATAAACTACCATTTATTTTACTAAAATTGAATTTCTGACATTGTAAGGAGATTCAATGTTACTATGTATGCAAAACTAAACCCTGTAGTTATGAAATAATTGTTTTTAACAAAAAGGCGCTCCTGAAGTATTCGTACCAAGATGGCGCACAACCTGAACATTGTATGTTTACCAGGTTAGGGTTCAGGATGTGCGTCATCTTGGACCGAATACTTTAAATCCACTTGAAAAAAATTGCTATATATGTCATATACATTATATCTAAACAATAAAAAAAAAACTTTATGTTCCAAAACAATGTTAAGGCCCGATTCTGCCGGACTATATTTGGCAATCTCGAGTTTGAAAAACAAAATTATGAAGCCCTAAAATACGATACGCTTAGTCTTAGTGCGTCTTTTATATAAAATTTTTGTTACGTCATATTGACTTTATAAACGTTTTGTATAGCCTGATTTAATGAATTGCAAATTTTGACATTTTCAAAATTTTCCCTCTGCTGCTAAGCGCACGAGCAGATATTATTTTGTGAGTTGTCACTTGCCAGGTCAGCATTATCTATTCTAGTATTACTTTGAAAATTATTATAGTCTAATTTTCGTTGTGGCTTTCAACTGGCCTAAATTTAGCAATCCTCTAAAATAGTGATCGACAATTGGTCCACGTCCAGGTAATCAATGCCCGTCTTCTAAGATTAAAATATCCCGACTATTTTGACAGGTTAACGTAATTAATTTACGTATCATAATTTCAATGCTTCATTAGCTTACGTGGTACATGATAGAATTTTATAGCGTTGGTAACAAATATGTTTAAGAAAATTGTCTGTGAAAGTCGCTCGAGGTCAATAGAACGTTTTTGCGGAACGATGAGAGGAATTGGTCGTTTAAGGTTGAACTACTGATAGATGTCATTGAATTGGCGGACTTTTCATTTTTTTGAATCGTTTCACATTATCTAAGCTAAAACCCTCAGGCGGTCTCACATTTACGCAGGCAACGTATACTTTACGAAATCTACGTCAGTTTAAGAGCCATAAAATAAGACTAAATAGATTTTGTCACAGGACTATGAGTTCATATTCTATTTGACTTGTGCCATTGTTGGGTTATATTATAGGCGGGTGTGTCACACAATGCTGTGGCTTTCAGCCCGAAAAACAACCGTCAAAGAGAATAAGGATCTCCCTCTCGCCGTGCGTTGCGGTCTCGCTTCGTGAATTTCCAAAGCGTATAAAACGCACATATTGAGAAATTGAATACCTCAGAACAAGACTAACAGGACCGTTCCATATTTAGTACAAAATAGTGGTTGCCAGGTACAATTCTAGCGAAGGTAAAGAATGAGATTTCGCAACAGGAATTGTCAATTCGACCGGGAAAATATTGTACGAATAGGCATGTGTAGAAATTTCCAAATGAGTAAATCAACGAAAGTTTTGAAAGTGTTTGTCTAGAGATGGCTACACTCATTTTCGCGAGCGTAGACAAAAACTGCAAGTCAGGTAATGTGTAAGGTATATTTGAGGCCCTTGACATACTATGCATACCATTTCCGTAAACGGGATTTTGGGTGGATATATAAACAAAACGCTTCGTTTATTCATTTGTGCCTGTATGTGTCCAGTTTTTATCAACTAAAGTAAATCGAGAACATGGCGTTTCAAACAATAAATTATACCAATATTTTAGTGATAATTTGAATAGTTGAACTAATTCATGCTGCGTAATCTCCTTGACTGACTGCACGAAGAAAATATTTAGTTTGGTAACAGTTTTATAACATAATATAAAAATATATGCCATTATCCTGTCTAGGCTGTCCTTCAAGATTTGCAGTTGAATAAATGAGTTCTTGTTTGGTACAGTACAATCGTCTCAATTATACAAACAAAAAATAAATGAAAAAAATTGACCAAAAATGATTTGGTAGTAAAAATAGTGATATAATACCATAACTAAATTGAAATGATACTGTCAGGTGTATTGTTTTGTGTTAAACTCTATATTACGTCACGTTTCGTGCTGAATCACTTAGCTCGACCGCCTATAACTTGAAAAATTATGACGTATTACGCATGGTGCGCACTCGATTGATACCACGACTTCCTCCATTGGTGACGTTTTGTGACTTTTCTTAGATAGGCTGTTAGTTAGTCCTGTAGTTGTGTAGGTTAACATTTAGTAACACTATTTGATTTTTTTGCGGCCATAAACTCATACAAATTGCGATTCATACAGTGAGAATTTATTCTAGTAATCGAGAGTTTGTTGTAGTTTGTGTATATACTTGAGTTTAACAGCAAATTCATTAATTAATTCGATTATATTGTGACTTAAATTATCTGTACAGTTTGTTTGGGCTATTAGGTATGTATGGCTTTTCATATCCGCTTATTTGTTTGCACCGATTTTGCACGATATAATATTATTGATAAAGTAAGGATTCAGTGGATATCAGTAACATTATGAATATAATACGTTGAAGACTGGACAAATATATTGTTTTGGACGTTGTCGCTAAAATACATAGAAATTCTTTTCTACCCCAAGTATCAGGGGTTACAAAAACAATCTCAATATACTCGTATCACAGTCATTCGACGTCTCAATAACAAGGTGGAAAATGACGATCAAATCTGACCCTCCGTGGCAAACGTGGTACATATATATTTTGTGGGCATTCAGTTATTGCTGACAAGCATATCAGGGCAGTCAATAACAACAGCACGAATATCTCCATATAAATGCGAGCTGCACAGGTTATTTATACATCAAATAAATTTCAAATCAAAAACGACATGAATGATTTCCAGGACTTTTTCATTTTAATAATATACGTACGTAATGATTATCCATAACCTACGAAATGGCGGTGATTCTCTTATTCTAAATTTCCACACGCAAGATTTTATATGCGTCATTTGATCTTTCTGTTATGATAATTCTACACGTACATGCGTTTTCCGACAATTCCTGTTTTATTTGTGTACGTAATTGTTTTGTTTATGTATCGGATTGTCATTGTTTTAATTACAAACCGGATCTAATTTGCAGACGCCAGTAATTATCAATGATAAAATACGTACAGTAACATTTTGATTTGGTGGTGTACTTGCAAGTTGCAAAGTAATATGGCTTGCTGCTGCAAACGGAAAGGGGATGTGAGAAAATGCGTACCGTTCTATATTATTGGCGGAATTTTATGCATAATTGGTTTACCGCTGATGATCGTCGGTATCGTTGCTGATTTCGCGGGAGCTGACTCAGTTGGTTACATTGGTGGTGTGGTCATTTTCTTCGGACTGGGATTCTTTTTACTATGGCATATGTTTACGATTGAAAATATTGACAAGAATTTGGATCTTGATTATGACCCTAATGTAAAAGACATTCGAGATGTAGTTGAAAAGTCGAGGATACGAGAGTCAACTTCATTATCTGCGATTAGCTTCCAGCAAAAAAAGACTGGAGTTTCAAACTTGGCTTTTGAAGGTGATAAAAGCGCTGACTCTGCAGTCGTGTTAACTGCTGATGACGAATCGCTTCACTCGCCGTCGAGTGCAATCTCAAAAAATGGAGAAGTAAACATCACTGACAATATTTCTGTAAAACGGGCGCCTCCACCCTTTTATGAGTACGATAACGCAGCGTTGGAAGTCGGTGAAAAGGATGACGATGGTTCAGGTGCTTCATTTTTAAGTATATCGAAGATCGACATTGGGAGTACATCGTCTAGCGCGAGGTATGTTAGCAGTATCCGACTATAAGTCTATTTAGGTCTCGCCAAATGGTTCGTCAGGGGAAAATCAAACCTTGATATCACTGTTTTGGCATTTACAAGAAGGACCTATTATAAAACGTAGTTGTACATAATGAGTTGAAAATGTGAAAAACTAAATGTTCATGATAGGAACATTTGCAGCATTGCCAAAATGCTCATTACAACGCTTATTTATTCAATGTACTTAGTGTTAGAGAATTATCATCACCAAAAATGCATGCTTATTGGATGAATTGTTTTTATTTTGGATATTAATTCAAAATCTTAAAAAAGGATATTTTTACATATTATTATTACAATACCCATCGACATGCCCGAATATACTTCCACTAGTCTGAATATGCTAATTGGTCTTTGATTTATTTAGTTGAAGATTTAAAATTCCTATATTATATAGCGGAAGGAAATTGAAAAAAAAAAACTCTTTTTAATATGTTAGGTCCTCTTACAACGGTACTACTACAACAACCATGCACGAAAATATAGAAATGATTTCAGATGGCACTAAACAGAAATCTTTGCCGGTAGAAATCGTATAGCAGAATATATTGAACTGAGTCAAATCCAATCCCACTGGAAGGTAAGAACTTATGCAAATAACCAAAATAACGAATTATAATAAGTGAACTGGGTATTGTATAGCTTTTCGAAGCATAAGATCAGAACCAATACCCCTATGAATACTTTAATAACGACGACGATGGTTGGGCATAGTTTCCCAGGATGATTACATCGTAAATATAACTTTTAATTACGTCGCCCTGTCGGCTAAAGTCAAATTATAATGCCATAAAATAGTACTAAAAATTGTATTCCAGTTTCTAGGACTTTATTTTGTAACTATTATAAATTCAAGACATGAGCTTTAATTACATCGAAGTCGGAAGTTACGGAAATAGAAAAATGAGTAACTCGGCAGATTCCGGATTTTATGTTTCCCAAATTGCGGTTTGAAGGGCGAAATGAAAAACAATCAGTAAACCAAAAATTGAATGTCATTTTAAAAAAAAAGTCTATATAGGATAATTGTATTTTTTCTAATTATAGCACCTCCCAATTTATACAAGCTTCCGATATTACTGTTATTCAGTTTTCTATCTTTATGGTTAAAGTTACGTGTAATTAATACAGAAGGCCTACAATGATTATTGAATTCCACTTCTTCAATATTTTCTGAAGACTTGAAAAAAAAACTTTTGTAGTAAATTATTCAGGTTTAGATATACTGCAGCTGCAGTTCGGGAGGTTGATATAAATAGTATGTCGCGGGAGAATATTTAGGCTATGTTGCCACGTACAAACGTACATATAAATTTGCCTATATCTAATTATTTGTATCGTGCTCAATATCGTTATTCGAGAACGCAAATTGCCCATGTCGTTGAAAATAAAAACAGATCGAGCAACCAATATCAATCATCTGAAACAAATATGTGGTTAACTATTATAATACCCGTCATGAAATGGAAACCAGGCAGAAAGTCGTGGTTCGCTATATGATTAAACCATCTTCCGGTAATTCCTCTCCCCGGAGTGAATTTTGAAAATCCCACCCTAATCTTAACGTTACCTCTAAGTGCAATGATGTACACCAAAAGATTTGCCTTAATGTTTTATGATATTTTTTCAAAAATGAAATTTGGATAAATACGTAGCCACGATCATTTTGACATATTTGGAGCAGAGCATATAATACTGCAATTGAGTGCCTCAATTTTCAAATTTCTCGAAAATTCTTAAAAAGATGAAAAGTGCGTTTAAAATGGTCAAAAATAACACATAAATATTTTCATCGTAGACGCCACTTTTCCAATAACAACAGCAATGTTATTTCATGTCGGTTTTGTTGATATACATATCAAAAGCCTTTAGAAGCAATTTTATTTCGGGAGCCTACTTAGAACCGTATTTTCGTACCTAAAATGTAATCGCTCCACTTAATTCACATTTGTGATTTTCGCGAATGAAATTTCAAACTTAAGATGAAATCTTTTCAATTTCCGCGGTTTTATTTGTTATCAAAGGAAACACAAATTGATCGTCACTCAAGTGGTTCTAACAACCGCTTGTGATGCTTTGTTTACTTTCTATTCTCGTTAATGGATCTAGCTACGACAATAGTTGTTTCTAGAAAAACAACAGAAATCTACAAAGCTAATAATTCCTCATTATTCGCCAATTCATTTTTCAATCCCTTCATTTGTTATCATTTTATTGCAACCAATTAGCCCTATTTTGTAATCATCTCCGTTATCGTTTTCGTCAGTCGGTAGAGCGAATTCTTTTCGATCAAAAGATAGATTCAAAGATCAAAGGTTTGTAGCGGGCACAGAGTCACAGCGGGCCTCATACTTTTCCATAGGCCACGCGCTTCATTGGATGAAAATTTCTGAATTAAACAAGATTTATAACACTCTGAAAGTAAAATTACTTGAATTTATTATTCTTTCCATACGAATTTATTGCTGCAGCATCCCATTCTTAACTCAGCGGGCCAATGTCTATTTTCTGTGCTCGATTAGATTGCTCAGCGATTAGTTGAACGGATAGACATTAAGCAAAATATGCTGAATTATAAGTCATCGCCCTAATAAAATATTTATTCGCTATTTTCTCAAATGTGAAATACACGCGACGATTTCGTTTCTAAGTTCTAACTATATATTTATTTCATCGATATCTTCTATATTTTCCTCATTAATATTTCATCCACATTCAATTAGTACCTTTATCTTCATCCGCCCACTGTAATTCAAAATTTATTTGCATATTTGTATTTATTAGGCTCCATTCTCAATATTTTTAACTTTTCAAAATTCCAGTAATTAACTTGAACACCATCCACAATTAAGATCAAAAGAAATCGAAACAGAATTGATTGTCACATGCTATATTTGACTTAGACAAACATCAACTGGGGACAACAGAATTCAGACGTAAAAACATGGACAAAAAATGTCGCTATTATAATAAAAGATTATATATGCTTATATATATGTATAGTGAATATGTATTTAAAGTTCATATAATTTTTTCTATGTGTTTGCATCCGCGTAGTTCACGCGTGGAATCTTGTATATAAACCTTTAAAATGTTCATATTTCCTTCATGTTCAGCTTTATCATGCCCAATATGACGACAAAAATCCCTACAATAACAATAATACTAGCTGTATTGCCACAAATAGTAGGTTCATGGGATAATAATTACAGTATTTCGCTTTGCTCTATAGTTTCATAGTAAAATATTTCAGCTACGGATTGGATGGCAAGTGTTTGAAAAAGTGTGTCTTCAAGCTTACATTCCTCCCAGATTAACTCATGTCGATTTTACTGTTTTACAGAATGCCCCCAGCATGCTTTTGAACGGAACACAATGTATCTTCTGGAGCGTGTAAAAGAAAAATATGCAAGACCGACAACCAAGTATAAGTCAAGCTTCAATTTTCTTTCTCAATTAATGAGCTTATAATATACACAGTCAGACATAATTTTAGATTTGGAATTGTTCGCGAAAGTCCTCGCTTAATATCTTATGTTCGCAACTAATTTTGCGTTAGGCCTACTTGATTCATATGAAAATTTTCTATTTTGCACAATGCCTCAACACTAACTAGAGATGGTAAGTAAATTCGAATTTACGTTACCAGTGTCTATTTCTGGCAAGATGTGTCCCACTGTCATTTGGTTATAATTCTGACTACTATTATTCGCATTGTCGAAGGAAAGCATGTTATTTTAATTGAATCATTTCTTATACCGTATATATCAGCGATTCTCCGTCCAAAATTCTAGATCCTTAGCTATTTAATATTTATCATGTTAGAATAGAGAAGCAGTGGAAACCGCAATTTTGAATTTCAAAATGCTTTAGAGAAAAATATAATATACTATTATGCTATTGCAATAGAATATGAGCTACTTTAGAATATTATTTTTATTGAATGTGCCTTGATATAATATATTTTATTGCATCTAGCTCTTTCGAACTAAATCGTTCCCTAACTTTACTTTATTTAATATCATGCAATGTTCCCTATTAATTGTGGCTGCGTTATAAAATGCTTTTCGAGTTTGAAAGTTTTTTTTAATGATATGCGGATAATTTTCAATGTATTGCCTATCTAAGAATGCGCCAGCAAGGATACAATAGATAAAAACCGTGGCCCTCTTCCAAAGACTCTCAACACCTGTGGCCCCATGTTCTCAGTAGAAAAAAACCTACTTTTTTTTAAGCGTTTTTTTCATCAGTTATTTTGTGCACCACTTTCGAAAATAAAAAAAGCCAACAAACGGAAGTAAAATAAAATGCATTCCAGTCAATAAAGTAAACAAACTACAACATTCTTCCTTTTAATAAATGTATTTATAACAATGATATCAAGTCGAGGCTTTTACTCGTGGCCAACGGATAACCAATCCGAGCACCCTCGAGGACCCAGTTTGAAAACCCTGGTTTATATCATTTTGGGCTTATGTTTTCAATTTGCACTTTGAACAGGAAGATCTTTAGATTCTGTCCTTAATTATATCATGCTATACTCTGAGGTATTTCATTTGAATATTCCGCTTTTACCTTTGTTGATTGCATAGACAAAACTTTTCGTTTTGCTCTTTTTTCAGTACTATGCCTTGCCTTCAACAATTTTTCATATGCATAAATGAACTATATAGGTTCTGTTATGTACACTCTTTCTGTACTATGCCTTTCCATATATTATTGTTTATTTTTTGACGCTTTAACAATACACTGTCTAAAGTAATCTCTCCAATTTGAGACAAATAATTTACCAGATGATATGTCGTGTATATTCTTGAGAGTATGTGTATGTAGTGCAGGGAAGAACAAGGGAGGAAGTTATTGACTCTGATCAGTCGGACTCGAGTCAAGTTTTCGAGTGACTCGACTCATTGCCAGATAGATGTTAGTTAAGAATCGGCGCATATTTTTTGGCTGTCCTTTGAATTAGAAAAAATAAATTACAGTGAAATATAATTTACGATTTAAAATCAAAAATTAAATTGTAGTTTGATTTTTTGATCTGTCTAAGGCAACATAAAAATTTCACGTTTCAGTGTTAATGCGACTCATATTCACCAATTTCATTATTGTTATGAAATCTACTATCACTCGAGCCCCCAACTTGTAACTTGAAACAGTTGCAAATTGCATTGACTCGCGACACGGGGGAGTGCGATGGCTCGACTTGACTCGTGTGCCCAGCACAGTCTGTATGCGTATGTAGTGATTGCGCATCGGTGTCGTACTCGTTTTCGCTAGATGTTTTTACTCGGGACAATGGGTCAGGGATCTGGCTTTTTTTTCTGTCGGGAGTTACAAAAATAGAAAAAATTTGAAACCCTCGGATTCCGAGTTTTTTGTTCATCATATGGAGTCGAGTTTTTCTAAAATACGAAACTATTTGTCAACCCGGATTCGTAATAGGTTATCTGATGGGGTTGGAGTCTTTTATATTTTATATTCTTTTCTGATCATCTACCTGAAGTCGCAACCTAAGCCAGCATGTCTCATCAGACCCAATTATTTGCCCGTGATCACAATGCTTCCAATCAGATGGCTGCGATAAGGTAGGATTTTTCATATTTATCCCGAAGGAGAGGAAATCTAATATCAGGCTCAATCGTATGACGAACCATGGCCTCTCGTCCGATTACCAGCCCATGTTGAGTATGGAAATACTGAATTCGCGCAGGGTACCAGTGCGATGGCCAGTGTTTTTCTATCGTCTAGCGATTCGCCAATTACCGAGTCTATACTGCTCCAGTGTGCAAACGCCCTTTCTGTTAAATGTCATAGATGAGCTGCGAACTTTGAATCAATTTCAAAATCCCGGGACCCATTGCATAGAAATTCCGTATCGAATAGGCGCACACACATACAGTAGCGCGGTGTGTTAAAGGTTCAATGTGAATATTATGTAAACGCAAAACCTTGTAAGTGGACATCGCCCAACTAAAACCTAAAGCATATCTCCTAGAATCTCAATCTTCATCGATTTTAGACTCTTTGGAACAAAGTTTTATTAACAAATAGATGATGGATTGCAAAAAAAAATTCATTTTAAACTTTCATCTTTTGTACTTTGCTCATTTTCTTTGTTTCTGAAGTATAATCATCCAATATCTGAATACATTGTCGGTAGATATCCACAACGGAGCAGAATTGTGTGGTGGTCTATTTACCCACTTCTTAGATCTGGAAAACAAATGAAAACTATATATTGGGAAGGATCTATAGCCAAGCAAGCGATTGTCATTGTTAGAATCGCAAACTCTTGTATCGTAAACTATAAACTCTGTTATGAAAATTTCTGTACAACATTCGAAAATTCGATGCTGAATTAGGAACATTCAAAGTGCTTCGAATGTGGTGCTGATAATTAACTGCACCGTCAGACCAATTATTCACGGCATCTCTATTTGTTGTGATCATTTGTATTCTCACCTTGGCAAGTTTTGCACCCACTCCTTTGCAGCAAACAGTACTTTCCATTCTCGCAATCTCTGAGGCTTTTACATTCTTTTTCGGGTTCAGCACATGTAGGTATAGACGGAAGTTTTGGTGTCTGGGATCCTAAAAGTCAGAAATCCAATTATTGAACACAAAGTTTACATAAGAATTGTTTTGTTATTAGGTTGTTGCTGAGCATGTTGTCAGTATTCTTATTTTTCTTGCAAAAAATCGCCTTTCACATTAACTACTGGACCAATCCCTTTGAAATTTTCAAATGTTTAACATTTTTCGCTAAAAGGCTATTACATTTATTTATTTTAAAATTTCAGTGATTCGTTATGTAGGCTATGCGATGACGCCATCAAATTTTAAAATGGCGCTCTTAGTGGCGGATCATCTTTCGCATAAGTTGTGCTTTTGTGGTCAGCTGTGGTACGGTACCGGTAGACTGCTGTAGCAGATTGCCTAAATACTCCGTGTCCATATATTTGAGCATCGATCTCTTTTAACTCTTTGAACTCTGACGGCTCTGAGCGAAGTTACTCGCTCACCCTGAAGGTTCGCGGCGCCGTATTGGTAGAACAATAAAATAAGTCTGAATACTGGCTATTTGGCACGCTTATAATTTTTTACCAATTATAGGTAGCACGTTGTGTGACATTTCAATCGAAAGGAAATTTTATCGTGCATTCAGAATGTATTTTCCATTTCGAAATACATTTTGTCAAAATTAATAAAATTGATCCTAATCTAACAGTGATTTTTCTGCATGTATGTGAGTTTTGGCTTGAAATTTTGTTATTTTGGTAAAAAATATACCGCCAATATTTGATGTTCATAAAGAGTTTTTTATAAGCTTTTTGTTGATATTCGAATTATTATTGTGGCTGCCATATAACCAATTTTATATTTAAATATTTAATTGTGTATCATTGTGTCGGGTGAACAACTTCGATAAGCGGCCATGACGCACTGATTACGCAGCTACGCAAAAGTCGATCACGTGACTACCGTCATGAAGATGTTGATTCGTACGTTCGAAACGTATTGCGTGGCAAAATGCGCAAGATAACTTTCACGACGACGTTCTCAGCGGGTCATCGGTCGCCGAGTTTCGATATGATATTAACCCTGTATGGATTGAAGTACCGACGTCGAGTAATGCGTGCAGTAATAGCGAAGTGAAGTTAATATCGTCATATAAAATTTCACGTGGAAAATGTTTTATTCGCCCATCAGTATTTGTTCAAATATCAACCAAAATAAGTACTTTCCTGCTCTGCAGATCAAAATATCTGATTGTACGAATGTTAGGCGAAGCAAGTGGATGGATCAATATCTGAGAGAACTAATAATGCAGAAAGAGCAACTCTTATTCCAACAAGATCATATACGTCGCCAGAACTAGATACCCTACCGCAAAATGCCAGTTCTAATAATAGATGCGTCGTATGCAGCAAAATTTACATTATTGCCAAAAAACCAATCCAGCTGATAAAGACAAAGCGTTGCTGAAACGATGCGAGACAGTATATAAGTACAAATTCTGTAATGAGTACCTATGTATAGATAACGAAACCAACAACCATAGGTATAACTGGCACAACAAAGTGCAATATTGGATTTAGAATGTGTCTTTTATCTGCATAGTATTTTCATGTTCTTCATTGTTCCGGGCACAACAAAGTGCAATATTCAATTTAAAAATTTTAGCAAGCAGTCTTTTATGTACATACATTTTTGATAGTTTTTATTGTTCCGTTATTTGCTAATAAAATCACAATCTTGTTCATATTGCGTATACGTAACCAAAACTTAATGGGGCTTGAGCGGGCAGTCAAAGTCAAAGCGTAGTGCGAATTTTGAATGTGTAGCATCGGGTTAATTAATTACTATCTGCGGACATTTAAATAATAACATCTCGACGTAACGTTATTGCGGATATCGTCACGTTTAGTTGCATTTGCGTAATATACGTAAAGTTGTACGTGACGAGACGTAGCCTCTCTTCAATGAGTACATCATTTTGACGCAGCGTCACTGTTAAATCTACAGATAATCTAATATATTTGGCCATAAAATTTGAATGGCTCATCGTAAAATCGTTTTGGATACGTATATAAAAAGCTATTCAAATTCTCCACATATATTGCCGATTGAATATGTGGCTATTTAGGCAAAAAGTCGAAATTCTTTATATTAAATATTTGTTATCATACAATAATTTCATACGCACTTTCAAATTGCTAATTTTACTGAAACATCGTATATTAGAGCACCGATATTTACAATATAATTAGTCCCAATAACAAGCTTTCATGCAATCTAAAATTTATTTAAATACTCATTGTGGTTCTTGAGATACGAGATCATAAAGTTGATTCCTTCCGACACGAAAAACAAGCCGGTAAACCGGCTTGCCGGGGCACAGAGCGTACTCAAACAAGCCGGTAAACCGGCTTGCCGGGTTCAAGCGGTTAAATAGCATAATACAGTCCAGTTCGAATGACAATACAGTTCGAGTATGGAACGGACAACCAATATCGGGTAGACTCGAATTAGGGACTCATTTTGGGCGTGTCTTTAGAATAGCAAAAATTTTCGATAAAATAAGATTTTCTACGTATATTAATGCTGTATTGAAAAACTATATATATATATACTAACTTCTTGCAACAATATTTAAAAATAAGCCGTGTTGGTAACGATGCCAATGTTTCCAATGCATAATTAAATCTTATTGTATGACCTTTCAACATGCTCATATTTATCTAATTCAACGTTGTTTATGGAATCTACTAAGATTCGGACTCAAACGCGACTAGACTTGGGACTCGAAAGGGCAGTGTCTCAAACTGACACTCGAATTTTAATTTTTTGCTGTGAATCGGACCTGACTCAAGACTCGGATTTCCCGTGACTCAACTCGACCTACAACACGGGATTTAGGGACTTGTACCTGCAGTTAAAACTAGGTGATTGTCGCAAATGTATTGACTTAATGATTATCTAAAAATTCCTAATCCACATCAATTTGGTTTGTTTATAGAATTGTCAGGCTTATTATTATACAGTAATGGGATGGCATTCCAAGTTGATAATTTTGTCAAAAACTTTCTTATTATATGCTTTTACAAAAATACAAGCATATACTCACTTAGTACACATCTTCTGCATCCATCATCCCCTAATTGGCATGTCTTTGTACCGAGCAAATCACAAATGCCGTGACATTCTGACTCAGGTGTCGGACAAGTAGGTTTTATGTGTATAGCTGAAAACAATCCGGTTGTAAAAATTTGACGACTCGTTCAAGCAGAAGTCCTTACATTTTTAAGTATTCGTTTATTTGTTTGTAAACCTATATTTCTTGTATAATTCCATGATTTACCAAAGTATACAGATTTATAATGTCATGAAACACAGAATATATAATTGAAAAGGCTACAGTAGCACTGCCTGTTGGTGATAGCATAATGAATACTTATGTTGGTGTAGTTAGCCAAAGATCTCAAATTCAAACCGTATGCCTATCATGCCAAAATGTATCAAGAAAAACTAAGTAAGGATATAGTTTCGGACTACGCTAATCCTCTGAAATGAACAAGCCAATTTTTACAAATTTTTTATCGTGAATTTACACAAAGTTCATGTAAGTTTCAAAGAACCCACCACAAGAAATAAATTCGTAAAATATTGTGTTAAAGCAAATTATACAAAGAAAAATGTCAAATTCCATTAATCGATATTACTTCGATATTATCTTTATGATCATTTGGTCCATGTGTCGAAAATTAAACCAATAATTTATAAATTTCTCCCTACCTAAAACTATAAAAAACGAATGTTATATCATAGTAATTATATCAATACAAGCATACATCCTGTAACTAGTAAACAAAGAAATGTATTCTCACTTGTAGAGGCACATGTACGACAGCCATCAGATGAACCAGGTAAACAACGTTCCAGTTTATTACAATCGGTATCATCTTTACAAGATTTAGATCTCCCGGGACAACTGAAACCTAAACAGGAAACAATGAAAAAAAAAATATTAAATATCTTCAAATACATGCCATCTTCTCAACACTTCTCCGTTGTTGACTTAACAAAATTATACAAACTCATACTAAACTTCATCAATAAGGTATATGAAGTTAATTTATTCAACCCTAATTTTTTACACTTGGATTATGTCTAAGACAAATGATGGGAGGTTTCGTTATGCGCACTTAGATTCAGACAGTTTTTATTTAACTCTATATCTGTGACCAAAACAAAATATGCTGTTTCGAAACTATTTATAAACATATTTAAATACGCCTTTGTCTAAATATCTTGGAACAATATTGAGCAAATTTCAACTTCGACCTAAAGTTTTGCGCTAACACTGTTGTTATTTCCTTAGTATCTACATGTTATTATTATTTCTTTGAGCTCTTCAACATTTTTTAGTTTGTGGAAGCTTGAAAAGTAGTTTTTGAAATAAATACTGATTGTATTTACTTAAAAGATCGAACTGTGAGGCAATGGATCTTTCCCCGAGCATCAACTTCCTTGTTTACTTCGTGACATTGGCCAATAAGCAAGATGCAAAAAGTCAAGGCTCGCTTTTCGCATCCGCTCAGACACTTTTCTCACTCAGATTTTCAAGCGTGGTCGTAAACATTACCTCGTTTTCGCGTTTTTGAACTCTATTCGTTAGTTTACTGTTGTGTTTCGGAAACTTAAATATAAATCAGATAATTCAATGATCACTCTGTCTTCCTAGGAGTTTTAATTTAATTGCAGTAATAAAAAATTTGTGTAGAAATGCTGTGATAGACTAGGCAAAAATTCTTTACCGGTACTTTTAAAAAACAGATTGTTGTATGCGATGAATCATAATGATGGTTTGAAACACATATCCCATTTTACAGGCGCCAACTCGAAACAGCACTTTTAAAATAGCCCCGAAAATTTTGCAATGGTAAAGTATAGAAGGAATTTTTCGGGGGTCAAAGGTCGGGGAAAGGTCCATATAACGCTCAAGATTGCGGATTAAAAAATCACAAGTTGAACGCTTATTATGCTGACAATGCCTAATCACCTAATGCTGAGGACCTTCAAATTCAGCAAGCCACGATGCTATTTTTTTCAGTTCTGTTGTAACAAATCATAATTGAAGCCAAACTTACCTGTTGAACATTTCTTGCATCCGTCTTTGTCCACAACACATTTTTCGACAAGTGATTTACAGTCTCCGTCAGTTGTGCATTGATTTTTGGTACCAACAGGACAGCTGTTACCTTTTAAAAACACAGATTATATTATTAAAACTAATCAAAAAATTGATATAATTCTATGGGTATTGGTGATACTTAAAAAAAAGTGTGATTTTCATTATTAAAAACCCCATCATTTCGACTCTGACTTCCGAATGCGTGGTGGAGAAAATTTTTACTTTCGACTCCCGACTTTTATCAAAGGTTTTTTCAAGCACTCAATTCCAGTATAACGCAAATTCAACTGTGGTACATGTTTCCTCGTTAATGTAAATCTTCATTTATTTGTTGGAAATTTGGATTTAAAATTTTTAAATTCGTATCCGGGAAGTTATTAATTACTCATTGTCTATATGAGTGTATAAAAATGTTCATATAACTGTAATCTTCATACATCTAAACTTTCACATACATTTTATACAAGCATATTCCTTTTCGAGACATAATAATATAAAGCTTAATTAAGACTTACTCTTTTTTTCACACTTTGCACTGTTACAGCGGTAAGAGTAACAGCAAACTTCGTTATCTTCACAACCGGTTTTGCTATTACAAGGAAATTTAGGACACGAAACGCGAAAAGATGGAGCATAGCTCAATTCTGGAATCGGACAGTTTGGCTGTTTAGTCAACCCAGGAAATAAACCCGTATCACCTGAATTTATAAGTTAGCAATTATTAGAATATATATTTATTTGTTTCGTTATACAAGCAAAAAGTAATCATTCATACCTTCTCGCACACAAGACTTGCATCCGAGGAGAGTGGATTGTTTGCAAATCATTCCACTTATACAGTCACTTGTTGTTTGGCACGTGCCTAGGCAGGGTGGAGGGGTGAGTCCTGTTTGATTTTGCGTAGAATATTAATTAAAATGAATGTAATCGTAAAACATACGATCAGCATTTCAACATAGTTAAGAAAAAAGCTCAATGTGTGATGAAAGAATAATGACTTAATCCAAGAGTACGGAACGTTTTACTTTTGAAATAAAAAGATGTTGATTCATAGATGAAATACACCTGAAGGAATGTCAAATTTAATACAAGAAAGCGATATGGATATATATATAAATATATGGAAACGAAGACCAAAGTGAAGTAGTATAGTACCGTAATGTCAAAAAACTCCCTACTTTCGCGTAGCAAAAGATGAGAGGTTGAGAAACCGCTCCAAATAATTTTGATTGAGGTCATCACACAAAATTTAGAAGTGAAAAATAAATCCCATAGAGCACACAGAAAATTTCGGAATAAATAAAAAGTAATATCCCCCTACAATCTTCAACTGCTGAAAAATTTTAAAGCAATTGGTCAAGTAGGTAATGAGAAAAGCGATTTCTTTCATTACAAAAAGAAGAAAAACACCAACAAGAACAACACATAAAACGATCCATAGGTATATTTCGTGTCCAATAATATGTTGGAAAGTTGGCCACTTACTTTTTGTACATTGCTTGCCACATCGTCCTGGTAAACATGATGGCTTACTCGCGTCAAGGCAGTCCGAGTCTGTTTTACACTGGTCAGTTTTTTCTGCAGAATGAAAAGAGAAATTTTTAAAATTAAAATAGTAATTTATTTAATTACAATTGGTCATCACGTCGCGATAGGAATTGCGAATGCGATTGAAAGCTTTTGCAGGCTGATTCCCGCTACCGCTGATAAATTACCGATTCTTCCACCAGTGAACAAATCTTAATTTAAAACTTTAAAATGACTTAACATACTTATCCTGCAGTAATTTGAGACATCTCTATCCCATTTACATTCCCCGTTTTTGCATCTGCAAGTTGTGAACGACGTAGCTCCAACACCGGGACAGTAATCTGTCTTGCAAGAAGCGAAGCACATGTCTCCATTTTTTCGTCCAAACATACACTTTACATCCGTTGTGTCACTCGTTTTCGGGAGATCACAGGTTGCTAAAAGTATAGCAGAATGTTAAAAAAAAATGGCGGCTGTAGTTTAGTGGGTATTCTAACTTAGATTATAGTAACGTTGCAATTCACAGAAAGCACTTGTATGACGTGTTCTATTCTATACAAGTTCATCCAAAACAAGGTCAGGAGCGCTAAATTAATTGTGAAAATGACACCCATTGAGAACTCGAAAGTACTGATAGAAAAATAGAAAGGAAATAAAATAGAAAGCCAGTATATAATATATCTTTCCTATAAGAAATGAGGATGGATTATATTTTCAGTGTCACGCAAAATATATTCATTTTGTGATATATATATCTTTTGTAATTGCTAGAACAAAATTTATTGTCTTAAAAAGATTGTCTTCCGAAAGTTTAGTTAGAAGTAATAATAACATTCTCACTTTGGGCTGGTTTGGTCGTTGGCTTTGTTGTAGAGGGAGTAGTGGGTGGTGTCGTTGCTTTTGTTGTGGTAGTAGGTGGTTTCGCTGTGAATATCGCTGTTAAAATAAAAGAAACGAATTTGTTATCGTGCTGTTTGGTAGAGGATTCAATCTTTGTTATATAAAATTCGCAGCTATGAATGAAATATATACATCCATCCACGTAAGACGCGCTCGTCGTTCAATAATTATAAGCAAAGAAACGTGATGGAAGAAAAAGGGTGATTGTAGAATACTATAGATAGGGGAGACCATACCAACAAGCATTCATAATAGACAGAAAGGCCTAAACGTGAGCTAATCTAATACAATTCAATAGTGTCAACGTTATTTGTGTCTGTGGCCTCCTTTTCTGTTACACGAATTGAAGCACTTTTTCTAAACCATATATATTTCAACAATACTTACGCCAACAAAATTTACAGAAGACGATCTTGACGCATCTGTAACCGATTTTGCAATCACTGTTTTTGTTGCATTTATTATCGCATTTCGGCTCTGTTAAAATACACTGATTAGATTACTGAAGCAATTTTTTTTCAAGAATTGTATATTCAAAACAAAGATCTCTGGATATGTGTCATGTTTGAGATATTAAATAAATTGCCCATAAAAGACAAAATAACGAATTTCCTTCTAAAATTTTATTCCTTCAGTAAAACTTTCTCTAAAAACAGTTTTCACGGTCGGTGAAATTAGGAAAATGCGTACAGCATAACACGATGGTAGGCCAATAAAAAAGTAAGTCGCTTGAAATGATTTTCAATATGAAAAAATTGCTGCATTGCGACGTATTTAGGTTTATTGTTAAAACAGTTAATAAGGTGTAAGCAACAGGATTTAGTCGTACCCTTCACTACATCATGTGCAATCTAGTGTTTCTGACCAAAACCAACATAAACAAAAACACTTACTAAAACTTGGAAAAATAGATTCAGTTCCGTCCAAGAGCAGGGCAACTGCAATTAAAAGTACTAAAATCTTCATTTTTAGTCTAGTTTCTATAGTTTTCTCGTACATAAATGTTTATAGAGAATAGATGCGGTTTATATATATACGTTGTTAGGGTGACACATATTTAGCATTATTTTCGTTTCGCCCTCGGGCAAATATGATGATCTTCAACGGTATGACTACGAAGACGTATTTCTCATATTTACAACACTAATAGTTTTGTAATATCAAAATATGAAACCGCTGAGCTTGTTATTCACAATATGACGTATCGGGAAAGTACATGGGTTTCTAAGCTCTTAGTAGAAACCAATAAAAAGCTCAACTAATTCAAAATATAACAATTACGATGTTTGAAAAATAATTTTTTGCTTCGTAATCAGGCTCATCATTTAGACTCTCGGCGAGGTTTGGGTTGATTTTTATTCGGATGGCATACCCTTGTTTGCATATAAAGCTGAATTCAATATATGGGCGATATTTTTCTTTAACAAGACTTCACATACTGCACACCAAAGAAACTTACAATAGTAAATACACATTCACTGATTTGAAGGTTCAAGAATCACTGCAAAAAGCTTGCGAATACTTTAGTGCCGATGCATAGAATTTCGTTCTGACGCCAAGCCATTTCAAAAATTGAAAGAAATTGAGTTCATATCAGATGGCAAGGTGTTAAACCAACTTAAATATTTGGTTAATAAAAGTATTCAAAAATAAAAATATTTGGAGGTTCACCAGTGCAAACTAGAATGCGCTATATGTTTAGGGCAGCGTCATAAAAAGAACGATCATATTTTAACCGACGATTTGTTATAACTGGACGTTCCCATGAATCGTTCCGCAATTAAAAATTTATTAACGTCTTCCGGTTTTTGTACTTCTATTTTAGTAAAGTCGCAAGGTGAACAACGATAACCTGTCAAAGTCATGTCGTCCTCATCACTTAGAAATGCGTTTCTTATTGTGACGTCAAAAATCGCGCGGTCCAGAACGCTCGCGGGGTCAAATATTATCTTCATATAGTGAATAGTGATACCATGCAACCAACCTAGTTGTTGGTAAGGAATGAAATTGCTAGTGTCAAGTACCGACAACTGAACCTATTTATCTTGGTTGTTACATACTTTCACACATTACTGAGTACGCAGAATAGTTGCTACCATACTTTCGTTTATCGTACCAAAGGGTGGCAATCCTTCGTAACTACGCTAAACTGGCCTTCCGCATTTCTTGAGCACATATACTAAAGTCACGTTATCAAATGAATAGTCTACATCGCATCCGGATATTCACAGCATGGTGCCAAATTAGGAGCCCAGGTTTGTAATCATCAAAGTCGTTCGTTACACACCTGGTGTAATGGAAAAAGTTACCTTCAATCCTAAAGTCTGACAGTCTTAAAGTTTCCTGATTGACTCGAGAAAAGCCAAATATTGGAAAATTTTGTCTAAGGTGGGGACAAACTCCGAGAAGTGATTCGAATCGCTCCAACGATCAACCTTGGTTTAGGCCACATATATTAATGGAAATTCGTCCCTTATGTACTATATAGTTGAATAGCAGAATCTTCTAGTCAGTCAAATATCATTTATGTTGTTAACAATGCAAACTGTTTTCCCATATTATGAGTCGATGGACACAAAGATCAGTTGATAATAATGCGTACAGTAGGGGGAAATTGAAATATTCCTCACCAGTTAGGGTTCCATCACCTGACTTACCTGGGACTGAACAAACTTAGTAAATCGCGATGATAAGTTTATGTGTCGGTTCAGCTAAACTCGGCGATTTGAAATTTCTTGAGTATTAACGTAAAGTCACGTTGGTAAAAAATCAACATAGAGGTCTTCCGGCTATTTGCAGCATATTGCAAAATCCGGATGTTGTTATGCATAATATTCAGCTACAGGGGCGCCGTCACGATTTTTTAACGAGAGTGTTACACTGCAATCAAAACAGTGTGCAGAAGGCGACCCCGTGTCCCCTTTGAAGTATCTCGCTTGAAGTACCAGGTGCAAATCGAATCAGATGACCATTGTACATTGATTTATAACTCAAGTCATTTCCAAGGTTCAACTGAACCAACTCAATCAACCGTTAAGTTACCGTGTTTACTCAAATAAAAATCTCCAAATCCATCGGGTGGTCTTTTTTAAAAATAGTAATCAAGTCAGCTAATTAAAAGGGGGCAATCGGGGGGGCAAAAAATTATTTCAAGCGTATTTATTATTTTGATCGATTCATTCCAATTCAGTGTCAAAATATCAAAACAGCCAGAGGATTACGATATATATATATAATCATAAGGAACTTGGCGTCACGAACAAGTAAAACGGTCAGATAATAAAAATACGATAAATGAAAAATGTATTAATGTGATGCAAACTCATTAGGGTTCGTAAGTCAATTTTCAAAGTTACAAAAGCGGGTAGATTACACAATCAATCCAGTCCATATTCGGCAATAATGTTTTTATTCGACAAAGTATGCAATAGATACGAGATGAAGATCCTTTAATAAAGGTACTTAGTTTCTAATCCATGATGTACAGTCCCTAAGACACTAGACCGTGTCACCATGAATTGCCGTTATTCAACAAGCCTCGTAAACTTCTACTCGCATCATGATGTTGTTAAAGAAAGCGATGGGATGGAACTGTATTTTGTAGGCATTGACTGGATTCTTCAGTTGGTTTTTGACCGCAGTGTTGGCATCAGAGTTTCCGTCAAAGGTCTGTAGAAATAAAAAGCATATTTTCAATATTCATCAAATTCCTTTTTTCAATTATAGCATGATTTTAAAACGAGTGTCGATTTCGACTTTTGATATATATATATGCTGATTGAACTGAAGTATTAATCGTTGGGGAGCGACGGGAATTTTTATTTTATTATTTTTTATATATTATTTCGGTTTTTGTTTAGATTGTTACACATGATTCACGAAAATGATTGAAAATTCCGAGTTCCGCATATACAAGCGTTCAGTATACTGTCCATTATGCATAGAATAAACACGATACTTTTAAAATTCATAAGTCAACGGGCCTAACATAAGACCCCCACAATCGACAAAATCCAATCTTCAGTATTTATAAATTTTGACTTTCAGAATACCGAAAAAAATAGCAGCCTGGTTAAATTGACATCAAGATTTTCATACAAAAATGATTTATGAACGCATTGCGCATTTACTCAGTAATAAAAGAATCGCAAATTATCTTACTCGTTCTTGACCATGCTCTTCGTAAGTCTTAAATTCGCCGTTCTCGCTTAAAGAAAATTTGAGTTTATATCGAGTAACGTATTCGCTCAACAAGAAGTACGTTGAGCCTTGTGTTGAAACAGCGACAATAGTTTTCGGCTCACCGAAGTCGATCTGAAATTATAACAAACAATTAAAAACGTGTACGATAACTAAATAGCCATCTCACTGAGAGGAATGATTGACATAGTATAGAGTAGTGGTAATAGTAAATAGCTTGTAAAGTAGAAGCTTTATTTATATTTCATATATTTATATATAAACTGCGAAGCATATGAGTGCAGTATAGAATTTTCCAGGTCCATATCGGCGAGACAAATGCCAAGAATAGGTTTAATCACATAATGAATTTCCGTTTATTGTCCGGATGGCGTCAGCCGAAGTAAAGAATAGGCTTAGATGACCAGATGACCCGTACAGATGAATAGATGTGTATGGAAACGAAATCACTTTGATTGCCCTGCCGCGGCGTAGAGAACAGCCATCAAACCGTTTTAGAAGACTCGAACCTTCGCACCCACACCGAATATTCAGCAGTAGGACAACTATAACAAGCGTGTTCCTTTAATCCAGTTCTAATAAGTTGTGCATAACAATGGCATATATAAGAGGCAGGATTAACCATTAAACGAAAATTTAATTCTCCATTTCGGTCGGAGACCGAAGACTTATCGATCGAAAGTTAGGGGATCCCCAAAACAGCGCTCTTACTCCATAGTGACACCGTGTGTCCCATCACTAATTAATTAATAACTCGCTAATTATACGACATAATTCATCAAAAATCGATAGGCTTCTGATCCGAGCTATGGTGAATGCAAAATTTGTAGCAGATTCAACCTCGCTTTCGTGAGATATCGCGTGCATCTAACAGACAGACAGACAAACAAACAAACAGACAAATACCTATCAACATACTTACCGATCATAAGATAGATAAGTAACAATCAATCAATCAATCAATCAAGTTCATTTTTTTCCAACCAGTAAAAAATAAATAAATAGCACAGGCACAAATTACAAGAAAATAGTACACAGTTTTACCGGGAACGGGAAGTCGCGGGGAACCAAAAGTGGTTATCGAGCAGCGACACCCGAAGTACCACTGTTAATATTAGATTATTATTGAACAATAAATAAGGTGAACACTAAACACAATAAATAAGGTGAACACTGAACACAATAAATAAAGTGAACACTAAAAACAAATACGTTGCGCTATTGTTTACAGGGGGGGGGGGGGGCAATTCTTTTTATAATTTGAATATAAGCACGTGCTTAGGGCACCAAATATGGGCACCACAGAAATTTTAGAGCAGAATTTTATATAGTTTATCGGTGTTTATTAAAATATTACGAGTTCACCGGACACTCAAACTTCAAAATGTTCGCTTATTTTTCGTCTTCAAGTATTATATTAACCTTCTTCATTAAAAATAAACACTCAAACTTATTTTGGACACGAAATGGGCCTATGAGTCGTTTTCTTAAATTGTTGTTGTTTTTTCTTTCTAGTATTCTCCTTGTTGCTGCATTTTTGTTTTAAAAAAATTTCTTTTCTCTTCAACAATTGGACAAATGAATTATTTACACCATGTGGCGGTTCCACCATCGCGTTTCAACGATCTAGTGGTCAGCGAAGTCGGGAGTTTTTTGATAAGGTAGACCAGGATGGTCCAAACCCTGTCGTGCTGATACATTCCGTGCGGCTCACAGAACAATTTTAGCGTATATTTGTATCTAATGGAGGAACGTTATTGAGTTTTTTCTAGCTATTCCAACTGGGGTTCGGATCCCGAGATTCAAACCCTTTTTCTATCGCTTTGTGCATTTATTTTAGTAAAAACACTCTGTTTTCAAGCGTCGGCCATGTGACAGTGGTAACGAAACGCAGAGCCGACTTAACGCCGCGCAATCCAGTTTTTTTTTAGCTAGGTCCCGAAATACCAACTTAGACGGACTTGGTTGGTATTTGACGATGGCACCACGCTTGCTCACGCTGCAAGTTTTCAAATTACTCAATATATATAATAATTCGTAATAAAATGAGTGTCGCAAAAAAAGTGACATAAGGAAAACACGGCGGAAACGTATTTCCTTGCCTATCACACAGTGTCTGGTTTGATTTCAAGTAATATCTGTCACGAAAGAATATAATTTGAAGCGACATTAAACGCGAGATGCGCAAAATACAACGGTAATTCTCGGGAATTACCTTTAAGATAACTGAAGGCTTTATATATCTTTTTAAAAGAACGCCACCCATGCAACATAATAATAGTCCGATTAGAACGGTAAACTCTCGTTGTTTATTGAATTTAAAGTAAGTAAACTCGCGATATTTCGAGCACTTCTGGGTTTTCTCCGACTAACGGCCCGCGAGACCTCCTCAAAAGCTTTTGCGGTCCTTCAACCTAGCAACCTTGAACCACTACAGTTGTGACTTGTATCCTTTGGTATTTCGATTCACGTTGAGACTGGAGGCATGAATCTTTATTGTCACACTCCCTCAGGATGATGGCTCAACCGATATATCGGCCCGATATTGCTTGTTTGCCGATATATCATATGGGCAGTAAAGGGCCGATATAGATATCGGCTATATATAACAGTTAAAAACCTAAAAATGTTCGTAAAAGTTGTTTTATTTACTGTTGGTTGTGATTATTTTTAATGGATAATACACTTATGTGGTTTATTGTTTTTATAAATAAATTACACATGAGGGGGCACCAAAGTCTTCAGTGCTTAGGGCACCAAAGGAGCTTAATCCGCCCCTGATAAGAGGCTATATTTAGTGAACAACGAGTTGCTTCAAAAGAAGAGACTAACGCAAGATTGCAAGTGATTTATGAACCTTATGAATGAGCAAGAATTACAAACTAATTAAACTTGCTCAAACCTCTAGATACTCTCCAATGTTTGTTGTTGATGCCATCCATCCATTACCAGAATTTAATGCTGAGTTGCTCGGTTTAAATCTCCAATAGGATGATGATGCAGATACTCTATTCATTGGAAAGGTTCCGTCTTCTAATCCAATAGGTTTGTCAATGCAAATCAGTTCTGTATTAAGATAAAATTATGTACATTAAACAAAGGGGGAATGATTGAGTCGAAACAAAAATGATGGATTTGGTTTGATATCAAAAGCAAAAAAAAATCGGAAATTTGAATTTAAATGGGTGTTACTAAAATCGTGAGGTAGATGAAAATTTTACCTAACATTTGTCTGGTGGAGGTTATGAAATGCTTTTAAAATAGAAATATTTATTTTGCTCGATATTATATAGGTATATATATAAGTAAATCAAGCACGTAGCCCAGCGTAAATCAAACGCACTTTTTTGCAGTCGTTTTTACAAAACGTATGCAGTAAAACAGAAATATAAATCAAGGAATGTTAGTTTCCTAAATAAAATATTTGGATATTGCAAAGGAATCGAAGACTCGGATAACACGTGACTCGACTTGACTCAAGACCTCGGCCTAACACTGCATAAATATGCTTACCAGGGGTCCGTACATCTGGAGGGGTTCGCTCTGTGGTTGTTGTCGTCCGTCTAGTAGTAGTGGGATACGTTCTGCGACGACTCGTTACAGTGGGTGGGATACGGATGTATTCAGTAGTCGGTCGCGTTCTGATGACTACCTTTGTCGGTCGTGTACGAAGGCGAGGAGTCGGTCGCGTGCGAGAACGAGCAACTGTTGGTCGTGGCCGTCTTGTGGTTGTAGTCTCAATCGAAGGACGCGGTCGCCTTGGCCTGTACTGTCTGGTCGTCGTTGTTGGTTCAATACGTCTTGTAGTTGTTGTGGGAATGGGTCGGTTTGTTGGAACATAGCGAGCTTCAAAATTGTTAACATCTTCGAGTACGCTGAAAAGTTGTACTTGAGCTGGTGCCCTAAAGCTGGGGTCACTGCATCGTGAAAGATAAATGGTTAGTATCGGCATAATCTAAAATTTTAAATGAAAACACGTTGGAAATCGATTCACGAAAAATTTGTTTCACTTTTGTAAATATATAATTGCGTTTGCTACAAGGAGAGGATTTACATTATTCAGTAAAAATACAAAAGCAGTTGGTATGCACTTGAAGAGACGCCATTCAAACAGTGAACAAAACAACTCAGTACACTCCACGTTTACGAAAACCATATATGTATGATACTCTATGATGGGGGGTTTATGTTTGGTTCCTTCAGAGATCAGAGTAAAGTTAATATTACGTAACGAACCTCGTTCAAACTTAGTGCTTAAATGGCTTGCCAAATCGAGTTGAGTTCCATTCCAACCGACATTGCGAAATCCACTAAAATTTCAATTAAACAACTTCAGATATACAATGGTAAATAGGAATACCTTTGGAAAGCCTGCTGTCGTCTTACAAAAATTAGTTGTGTTTCTCCAGTATCAGGGATAACATTTTCAATCTGCTCACGATCGCTTCCTATAAATACAGTAACGGTGTTAATGCAGAATAGTTCTCGATATAAACAAAAATAACAAACATATTTTCAGTATTCTGTCTTTAGGACTATGCAAGCAACGCAATCGTGATAATAAAATGGAGCTTGAATCCAATGTAAACAAGTCAACTACTTTGACCATCACGCCTAGTATAAAGTCCATTAAATGATTTCAAATAAATATGACCGACATTTAATTGGACGTCCATGCCTAATGTAGAAAGCCCCCTTGCAATTTTATACAAACACAAATTCACTACAAATACTCAAATAACTCGAGTAATTATCCATGCAATATTCGACGATGAAGTATCAAGCATGACATGGATTAGATTTATCACATTATATTCAAACATTAGATTATGTAAATTTGGATTATAAAAATTGTGCCTCTGGGCTATTTTGGATCGGGTTTCCACTTTACTACCAAAACTGTCATATTTATTAGCTTCCTGGGTGTCTTATCTGTTCAAAATGATGTTTTCAACAAACCTGTCAGACGATTATAGAAATCATATCTTCTGTTTCTATGCCAATGACGTCGATGCTTGTTACTGACGTCCTTGCGGCCGTAGCAAAATCGTGTGCCTCTGCTGTAAACAAAGGAAGTGCAGCCGTATGTCTGAATGCATCTTCGGGCACAATCTTCTACTGAAACAAACCGACGAATTCTAAATGATGTTCTGGCCCATACATTTGTCCCGGCAAATAGTTCAAAGTATTCATCCGCAACTGAAATAGATAATTTTAATGAATAAAATAGCGATCGGAAATATTTTGGCAATATTTCTTCTGAGTTATCTAATTATAATTGACATAATTTTCGGGTGATCTGATAATGATCAAGAGGAAAATACTTTGTTAAATTTGAGACTTCCTCTAACCCACTGCTGATACCTAGACGTGTGCGATTTACAGTATACAGGGGAATTTTAAACAAGCAGAAAAAGGAAGCAACAATACAAAAAATAGATTCTGAAAACAATTCCAGTTTGAAATTCAGGCAGTCTCTATGCTTTGGAGAGTTCGTGTATATCACATAGCATATCCGATGTCATACTGCCACCAAAATAACTTATCAGTTCACAAAAAATGTTTAAAGGAAGGAGTCAACCAACATAATTATTCATTGCTTCTTATCTCAATAATGATTGATTGTTATCAGATGGTCTGTCTACTGCAGCAATAAGTGGTTAGGTTACGACTTCACGGACGTTTGAATGTCATTATTACCTAACATCATTTAATTCAAACATACGCAGTTTGAGTGACTAATATTCACCTTTTTATATATAGTGAACGATGAATATGAGCTCACAAGGTATCAATGGTCACTTGATAGCCTTGCTCGTAAAATGAGCTGAAACATATCCCTCTTTGGAATTTTACAAAAAATATTGTATTGAAAAGGTTGGCAACTGATTTGGTCCAATTTTAGTTATCAGAAGATGATTGAAAGCCGCATCAAACGATTATACAAAACAAATTTTCCCAATCATTCATCATCAAATAATCATCAACATTGACGATGCCAATTTAAAAATCGAAGTAATATTTTTCATTCGAAAATTTGGTTTTATTCACGGTTGGCTTTGAATATGATTATCTATTTTTATTCGAAAGAATTTTGATTTATCCAAAATATTCTTTTCAAATTTTATTGTGGGCAATTTTGCAAACATTTACTCGAACATAAAGTTAATTTTTAAAAAATATTTGTGCTGTGCTTTACAGCCAAACATTTAGTTTTGTGCTACTTCCCTAATTTACACGAGTCAAAAATGTCGACGATGTCCTCTTCGTCGACGATGTCCTCTTCGTCGACGATTTCAGATCTAAGGTTTAATAAGAGTAATCTGTAAGGGAATTTCCTAAAACAAGTCGATTCGAACTTGTACATATTCTTCTAAATATCAGGTGCAAGAAGGGCGAGTCTCATAGTAATAATTTTAGTTCAGAGGGAATATCTGAATTTGTTGCTAAACTGCCCGATCCTTGGGTTACTAATACAACTGAGACCTCAATTGTTTGACATAAGAATTTAACGGGGCGGAGGACTGAAGGAGGTTTCATAACACGGAAAACGGTACGAAAAAAGTATAATGCGTTTAAAGATGAATACCGGATTTATTCTTTAAGTCTGCTTCAGTAAAGTAGACTTTGGAAAATTATTGAAAGGATTTGAAAATTTGGACGAAATATGTCGATTGCCCAACCTCTAATTTTGTAGAACGATTCAATTTATATGACTGTTTGATCGTCTTTTTTTCAATTCTCCAGTCACATTTTATTTCATATCGCTGTAAAATCCTTTAACACACAACACTTGAATCTTGATTTCATTTTTTGGCTGACATTGCCGACTTTTGAAAAATAGGCAGAGGGCGGAAATTTTCAATAAGCCAGATCAAAACGTTGTCGTGATGATTATGTCACATTTACACCAAAATAATGAATGAATAAATGAATAAAATCCTTAAAAAACGTCCATAATATGAATTTTCATCAAAATCCGTATTAATATAGGTAAAATAAAAAACTGCTTGTAACTTTTTTAATTTTAAGTTAATACGTCATAAATTATAATTAGACTTTTCTGAATCTTAAAGGCATGTATGGCGTCAAAGGCAATTAGTGTGATGGATTTTGAGGCAATGATCTTTAAAAATATATATACTTGCTACAAAAAGCACTCCATCACAATTGTATTTACCACACAGCGTTATCCAGCCGTGAACCGCCATAATATAGAATACAAGATATCTTAGGTTGACTAAACAATATATATATACTGTAATACCGTGGGAATGAAAGTATGGCAAGCCGCAAATTGCCTAAAGCGCGCTTAGGTGGGATGATGATAAGATAACGTACCTGAATGACTGAAGAAAATCGATGCCAAGTATATCGCGCATATTAGCTCCTTAAATTTCATCGGTAATGTAAAATGTAGGTGGCTATATAGTATAATGTTTACACCTGTGCAAAATTGAAAACAGCAATATTTGAAACACGGCTATGCACCACTCTGTTACTTTGAGCACGTATGCTTAGATATGCCTAAAATATACATTTGAACACGAGCCTTAACCACGCTGACATATGAACAGCATATGTATATATTATGGCCACAGGCTCCTTGTTCGTACCAAGATAAATATTTACCAACATAAAAGCTATGTAGCTAACATAAATCGTAGTGAGATAAATCGATTTGTTGAACGAAAGATCATGTAATGATAAAAAAAACATAGCTCAAAACACACAAAGATTTAAATGCCCGGTAACCGAGAACCGACTACAGACTAGGCTGGGTGTGTTTCTGACAACATTCCGATTATTAATTCACATGATAACCTGCTTGGGCACAATTGATAGAGGGATATTGCTCTGGCGAAATGTTCGAAGCTCTCACCTGTCATTTACTGCGCTTGGTCAATGAGTTGATGATATAGCCATGGTACATACAAAATATCAATTTTTTTTATTTCACCGAATTAATGAAATAAAACAGGAGAGATATTCCTATATTTTACACAATATTCTACCTCCAGCTATACCATATTAAGAGTATATTGGCCTGCCGTACAGCTAATAATATCCAAACCATCACGACGACACTTTCCAAACGCTAAATATCCACCTTCACTTACCGAGCCGACAGCTAAATCCAAATAGCTAAGCGTTACAAATTGGACGAATGAAACTTTATCTTCAATCGTACTGTGACCAATTGTCTGAATGATTTTATTTGTCGTTGCGCATTTACTACACGAGTTATTCTATTGAAAGAGTTATTTCGATAAGACGAACGGCCTCGTCTTGCGAATTCAAACGAAGTATGCGCGCGCGAATTCACACCAAAGCGACTCATTTCCAACAAATAATGTAAATATAGACGACTCGGTTTCCTGAAAGCGTGGCGATAAGCTCAAACAGCCGATCGGGTATTCGAGGTTCCATTTAAATCAGCTGTCTCGATCTTTAATGTACCGCAACCCAATACTTAACCCACTTTGAAATAACGACCCCATCGCAAATTCTTACATGAATGTAAAACATATCGATGCTTTCTAATGCACAATAAGTGAACGATGTTGTTCCGTCGTACAGACCGCGTTGACGGCTTTTGACCTAAATATATAAGTAATTTAATAACTAAAACCTTTGGCGCATAATGGATTTCATGATGATGAATTTGAACAATTAATGGAGAATAATAACCATCGGGTTCTATTCCAATATATTCAATATACTGACTTTACAAAGAAAGGCGAATCACTTTTTCATGTTTTTTTTATCAAAACTTAGTTACACGGAAAGGCAGACTGTGGGAATTACATGGACAACTTTGAAGAAATAGCATTTTCTTGTCCTACCGAAGTGCTATTTCCGATAATAACCAACATAATGGGCGCAGGAAATGACATTACAGTTTCTATCTGGCTACTTCATTTCTAAGCTACTGTCTCTAAACTCTTCTAATTCACAATTACCACGTGGCGTACTTTTTCTTCCCAGTTTTCTAAACTTTCAATTCTTTCGAGAGGTTAAGAAAACAAAGTGGATCATTTGTAGCTTTTCACCGCAAAATAATGAGAGTGGAATAAGAAACTAGCCACTGAAAAGTTGTTTATAGTTCGACTCGACCCTGGTAAACTTTAGCCACACTCATCAAGACTTTAAGTGGTGGAAAAGATTCTCAAGAGGATATCCGATAATACGGTTTATTTGAAGAGCGAGCCGCGTCCTTCCATGCGATTACAGGTTACAAAACGGGCATGGCGCAGCTGACCAGTGAATTATTGATACCCACGGGTGTGGAAGTTGAGAGAAGACGCAACGCCCAGCAGATCAATTGCAGCCCCACCATTAATGACATGCGCCCCAGTTGATCCGCTCTACGGAAACCCTGCGTCGAATAAACGGTCAAATTTCATTATAGACTCGACAGTTGCAACACAAACATTAAACTGATGCAAAATTTCAAGGCATCTGCGACCCCTTGACTCAATGGTTATGCAGCAACGTTGACTTTCGTTTTTTCTCCTCCCAATGAATGTGGTCAGGTTCCAATTTGTTTGTCAATCGAAGACCTTCGTCACACTGTAATCACTGCTTTTCTAATTACTCTATTTCTAAAATATGGTCCGATCATAGTAATTTTTCAGAATACCGAAGTCTGCAAATAGTGTTGCAAACAAGCTCGAACAAATGACAGCCGTCAAAGACTATGTAAAGTTTTTAGACTTAAATTCAAACGGGTAACGTGCACCGCAGCTGCCGACTAGAGTTATTTTGTGCCGTTTCAAAAGTTATGTAAAGGTAGGGTTACCATATTTTTTTGACTTCAAAGCGGGACGCCTCCTGTAACTTTACAGTTTCCGATTTTACTACATAGGCCTACATTTAAGCCATCTCGACTGTCTTCATTAACCATATTGTCATCGAGAGTTCATGCGCATATTCTCTGTCTAAATATCGAGTTCAGTTCGAAAAATAGAAAGGCATAGACGCTAACGATACAAATGATCCGAATTTAGAGTTTTTTATGTACAGCAAAAGAAATAAAGGTTAATGATTATTGCTGTTTTGATTAAGGTAAGCTAGAGCCCCTTGATCAACAGCACGGAGCGTTTAGTAGTCTTTTTTCTGTCATTCTGTGGCTTTTGCCAGCCCGCTCCGAACCAGGTGTATTGGGAGCCCCTTCGGGACTTTCTTGAGGCCACCCC